TCTTCTACTGTGTGGCTTAAGTAAGGGTGAGGGCTCCAGCGCAGATTCTAATCAACAACATGGAGGCCGTTTTCCGTCCGTAGGCTTCAAAGTACAGTAATTAGAACTATGCTGTAAAAATAATAGTTAGTTAGTGGACAGTCTGTAGCTTATTAGTTTATTACATATGTAGCAGAGGTAGAAAGTTAAGAGAACCGGAATGTAAGAAAGAAATACGGAACTAACAGTACATATGCTTCGAAAGCTTGTCATTCCATTTTGCTTATTAATGAAAACCGTGCAAATGTTCAAATACAGTTTTAATTAAAACAAAAAGCTCAAATGTTTAATTTGATGTTCAAATTTACTTCAACCTAATGACGTCTTTCGGATTATGTTATAATAATATAATTTAAACGAGTTAAAACGATAACATTTTGAATAGCAATCTTTAGCAATGATTTCAAAAAGAGCAAGATTCGTGAGAATAGTCGCCGGGAAGCGCTTCATCTTTTTTGTATTATTTACTTTACCTTTTGTTCTATTTTTCCTTCGTTAAAAGTCATAGTTTTCAGTCAGAATAGTGACATTAGCTAATTTTTATCTGAAAAAATTCGCACCGAAAATCACGTTTTATTATCATAACAAAAAAGCTTAAATTACGTTCTTCTTTCACGACAGTATCGAGCAATGGCTTGGGCAATTGAGCAATCATAATCTGCAAGTATAAGCAGGCAAGCATAATCTGTTGAACAGATTTGGATAAAACGTCATGTTGGAAAAGTTACTTTTTAAGCAGTCAAAGTCGTGAACAGAAGCTAGTACCTTATAATTGCGACTTCAACTTCTTGCCGCAAAATGGGCGACGTCATTGAAGTTGTTAAATCCGTAAGTTCCGGGAATTACTTTTCTGACTTCAAGTCAAGCTTGCGGTGGTCGGCTTCCCGTCAGCCACTGATAACATATAGACTATTGGAGAACTTTGCAATCTGTATCAGAAGGTAAATAAATAAATAAAAAAATTCCTTACAGCTTATCTCAGACCTGACCTTTCAACCTTAAGAGGGTTCAAGATAAAGTCACGCGATATTAAGGTGTATTAAAAAAACGTGTCTCTATCACAATGCGGTTATGTGATTGATAAAAAAATTGACATCTGCTAGCGATCAGTATCGCGACCGGCTGAGAAGATCCATCAAGAAACTCAGAGAATAATGGCTTCGTCGAAATACGCCGAAATACGTACGGTAAAGTACATCTACTCAAAATAGAGTATGTTTATCTTTCAAGTAGTTGATCCTATACTATTAAATTATTATTGTTATCTACTATACTATGGTTCAATGAATAGTGATAATGAGTGTGATGCAATTATCATTTATTAAATGTTATTTTAAATTTTGACATAGTCACCTTTCACGTTTAAACACTGGGTCTTTTTATAAAGATAAAATTCCCTTTTAAAAAAATCTTCTTCCTGATCTATTTAAAAAAATCGTGTACCGTGGCGACTACTTCGTCATCATCTTCAACTTTATGAGCCCTGAGATGTTTCTTTAACCGTGGAAATAGATAGAAATCACTAGGAGTTAGGGCCGGTGAATATGGAGGATGATCCATCAATACGAAGCCAGCTTCTTGAATGACAGCCATCGCAACTCTGGAGTTGTGCGCGAAGGGAATCTGTTATCTTGGTGCAACAAAATAACTTTAGCGCATTTGCGTCGCCATTGTTTGCGTATTTCTTGACGCAACTTTGTTATTTATCCTGCGTACAAATTCCCCGCAATAGTGGCTCCATGATTAAGGTATTCGATCATTACCACCCCTTGGTTGTCGCAGAAAAAACAGCCCACAATTTTACCAATGGATAAAATCGCCTAAAATTACTTCGGAGTTGGAGATGACTGTCTTTTTTAAGTCATGGACTGTTTTTTAGTTTCCCGGTCATAATGGTGAAGTCACGTTTCGTCCATAGTTATGAATCGAAATGGACGAAAATTGGACGATGTCTTGTAGTAACAAACCCAAACAGCTTCATGAAATTCTCAGTCTTGTTTGTTTCTGCGCGTCAGAAAGCATTCCGGGCACCCAGGACGCTGACACTTTTTTCATACCCAAATGGTTGTGTATATTAGGAAACTTCCTATAAAATCTTCATTCCTTTTGCTATAAAACAAACAGTAACACAACGATCCGCTAAGACAATGTTTTCAACTTTTTTTTACCATTTTCTTAGTCACTACCGATGCAGCGTGGTGGCACCATGTTTTTATTACAAATGGTGACGTCAACGACGCTGACGTCGTTCTCTTCGTTGTTGTATTGCTTTCCATAGTGACAGTAAATAATACTCACTTTTTCAATGAATTCCATTTATTACATTTCAGTATATAACGTTAACAACAGAGAGCTCCGCTCCGTTTGAACACAGTTAACTTTAACTAATCTTAGTTAACTAAATATTAATGTTGCGCCGATATATTTAATATCTGGGCTATGCCTGTCAGTCTTTTTTTTCTTTCCAAAGAGATTGTATCGCATAATCACTATTTATTGAACACCCCTCATACATACATATAATCTTAATATAGGTATATAAATACAGTGTCACGTTGTTTGTCCGCGATGGACACCTAAACTACTGAACCGATTTTAACTTTTTTTTATTTTAAATATGTCTTTTATTCCAACTTAGACCCTAAGATGGTTTTTATTTAGATTAATGGTTGCAATATTTCTTAATTAACAATAAAATGATTTCTTATGTTGATTATTGTTATTAATTGTAAGTTTCATAAGTCTAAAACAGATGGCGCCTTAAATCCGTTTTTACAGACAATATACTGTCTGACGTTAATATCTCATAGATGACGCTATGTTAAAAATATCAACGTTTCATATAGGTGAGCTACAATTTATTGGCATTAACACCACGTGTTGCTGAGGCTAAAGTATAAGTGAAATTTATTTTGTAGTAAGCGCAAGTAAAGTGAAATCAAATTGTTCTTACTTTATAAATTTTTGGTATTAGCATAGCCGGCCACGTGTTATTTAGAAACAAAAACCTTAACCACAGCAATGTGTGGCCGGGTCTGCTATTTTTAAATAAAATCAATTGTCACGTCCCGCCTAATGCTTAGTTTTACGTAAAATGTCTACTGGACATTTATATTTTACTACACACATTGAGTTATTATGCTAATATTTGACAAAGATGGTAGTAAGACAGTGTTTTAAATTATAGTTTAGTGTATTGAGTAATTCAAGTTAAATTAAGTAAATTCATACATGGCTATACAAAAACATACTGTAGCTAAAACAATTATGTATGTATGAAATTATTTGTACTGTAAGGAATTTTAACTGAAAATTAACAGGTCAAATTAATTCTGTTAGCTCGAGGCAAGTGGAAACTTTAAAATATCAGCCTTTTGTAACATGTTTATATATCTACGATAATTTAAAATGTTTTTTTTGTATACTTTGTATCGAATAACAAGCAATCAACATGAATGGCTAAATAGTACGAANAGGGTGATGGGAGAGACGTGCTCCGCACTAAACGCTTCACTTTCCCCCCTTTGCCTTGTCATGAGTTCTGTCTCATGCGAGGTTTGGACGTTGGTTGTTGAGCGACAGGAGGTTTTAGTCAGTTCGACTCTGATATGCCCCGCCCTGCATCACCAGTGGAGGGCGGAAGTCCGGCGATTTCCTGCTGACCAAAAAAAAATCTGTCTGTCTCTCAATAGTACAGTAAAATAGAAATGTATTTTGGTAATTCTGAATTTAAACAAATCTATTGATGATATGAATTCATTTTTATTTTGCAAATTTGTAAATACACACTCTGTAGCAATGTACGTACATATATGAAGAAACAATAATAGCACATACAAATACATATATTATGTACTACATCATCATCATCATCATCAGCCTGCGGCAGTCCACTGCTGGACATAGGCCTCCCCCAAAGCTCGCCACTGAACCCGATCTTCGGTTCTACGCATCCAGTTACTGCCATTATGTACTACGCGGTACTACATTTACTAAAATTTATACAACATTTATTCATTAAATTAATGAAATTATGGTTTTAAAGTTTTAGGGGTGTATAAAAATGGGGGGCGCTGAAAAATAATTGACTATCAAAGGGGGCGGTAAAGACATAAGTTTGATAATCACTGGTGTAAATCATGACGGCCCCTAAACAAGTTTTGTTTTGTTTCGAAGGGACATTTTACTCCGCTTACAGATCATGAGTAGGTAGGTAGAGCCTACCCAGGATAAACGCGGCACGGTCGTGGACGGATTAGATGTGCGGGCGGTTCTTTTTTCTGCTTAGATGGGTGGACAAGCTCACAGCCCACCTGGTGTTAAGTGGTTACTGGAGACAATAGACATTTACAACATAAATGCGCCACCCACCTTGAGATATAAGTTCTAAGGTATCAAGTATAGTTACAACGGCTGCCTCACTCTTCAAACCGAAACGCATTACTGCTTCACGGCAAAAATAGGCGGGATGGTGTTCCCGCGCGGACTCACAAGTGGTCCCACCACCAGTAATTACGCAAATTATAATTTTGCGGGTTTGATTTTTATTACATGATGTTATTCCTTCATCGTGGAAGTCAATCGCGAACATTTGTTGAGTACGTATTTCATTAGAAAAATTGGTATCCGCCTGCGGGATTCGAACACCGGTGCATCGCTTTAACACGAATGCACCGGACGTCTTATCCTTTAGCTACACTTAGCTTTTAATTAATGCCTGATTTATTAGTTAAACATAACCACTACAAAAACGGATAATTTACAATACCAAAGTCAAGGCAATTCTCAAAGTCATCTTGCCCTTGGTTTATTGAAAGAGTTAATCGCAGAATCGTGATTTGAAGAGCCAAGTATTGTCCATTATAAAACAAGATACATGTAAACTGATTCACATTCAAATTAAACAGCAAAAAATTAGATGAACAACGACAAAACGATATAAATAGGATCAAGTATCTTGTAGCAGTATTCAGTCCAATAGTCCAATCAGCCCACGATGTCGACGGTGAGTAATAATCATCTAAGTTAATCAAATTCGTAATATAAATTTAATAAAAAATATTTAAATACGGACTTTGTTGGAGTTAAACATATCGTCGCCTATTTAAAATCACCACAATCAATATCATCTCAATATGTATGGTTTTTGGTGATCACTTAACACTAACTGGGTCGTGAGCTCGTTCACTCATCTATGCATTAAAAAAATCCTTTATCCGTAGCATCAACAATTTCGACGCTAAAGTTTTATATATAGAATGTAGGTTTTATTTATTTATATTTGTTTATATACAGACAAGCTCACGGCTCACTTGGTATTACGTGGCCACCGGAGCTCTCAAACAGTTTACAAGTAGATACCACTATCATGACAATTTCTGCCACAGATCATTTGTTGTGGCAAGTTGAGACTTGAGACTTTTTGTCTCAAGTTGAATAAGGGCAATCATATTCTGGCCTCAATACTTTCAAGTAACAACTTAACTTGAATTGATCCGTAACTTCGCCTTCCTATCTTTTGTATCCCAATACGAAAATAAATATGTAATTGAATTAAAAACATTCTAGGAGTGAGATTCATTCAAGCTTTATAAATTCGACTAATATGATATTTTTTTTACATTAGCATTTATTTGTTACGTTCATCGCATTCTAGATTAACTGACACTTAGTAAATAATATTTTTTTTTATCCTAGATTCGCTGCTTGTTCCTCTTGATCGCGTTGTCCGTTGGGGCAATGGCAATTAGAGAAGTTCGCTCACCAGGTAATGTAAACATTCTATACTAATATATAAATCTGCAGTGGTTTTGATGGACGTTCCGTTATAACTACTGAACCATGCATCCGATTGACTTGAAGCTTGGTATCCATGTAGAAAATATAATAATATGTACTTAATGGATAGGCTAATATTTATAATATGAGTGTTGGACTCCCTAATAATAATGACAATAAATAATAATGTTAATTTTAAATGTCCAGCTAAGCGGACGATTACGGCTAGTTAATTTATAAATACTTTGTCATGATTATAAATATTTATTAAAACAATAGGTTTAAGCTTTGTACTTTCAATCATCAGTCGTCATGGCCTAAAGGATTAAGATGCCCGGTGCATTCACCGGTGTTCGAAGCCTGCGGGCGGGTACCAATTTTTCTAATTAAATACGTACTGAACAAACGTTCACGACTGACTTCCACGGTGAAGGAATAACATCGTGTAATAAAATCAAACCCGCAATTTGCGTAATTACTGGTGGTAGGACGTCTTGTGAGTCCGCACGGGTAGGTATCACCAACCTGTCTATTTCTACCGTGAAGCAGTAATGCATTGGTTTGTGTTGCAATGCGTTGACTTGGTTTGACGGATAGGGCAGCCGTTGTACTTACTATAAGCGGGGACCTCCTACGAGGTTAGGCTCTCAGCCGAAAAACAAATGCCGTTGTATTATAACAACGAAGATCTTAGAGCTCATGTCTCAAGGTGGGTAGCTGGTAAAAAATGCCTTTGATATTAAGCCCGCCAATGCACGATAATTTGCACGAAGTGTAAAAAAATGGAGCCCCTAAAATAAAAATGGAAAGTTGATAGTTAAATAAAGAGAAAAGCGAACTAAAAAATTAAATAGCTTTGCTATTAGTCTTCGTACAAACCTTAATTACTACATTAGTTTCCTTTAACAGGAGGAGGAGGCGGTTGGCACGGAAATGGAGGTAATGGGGGTGGGTCTCCGTTTGGCTCAGCACGATCTTCAGGTGGGTGGGCCGGTAGCCGATCAGGCTCTGGAGGTTTCGGGGGAAGGTCTTCTGGTTGGAATGGTCAAGGGGGTGGGTCGTCGGGTTCGAGCTGGGGCGGTAGTGGTGGAAGCTTGGGTTACGGTGGTTCGAGTAACGGATGGGGCGGTAGTTTTGGATTGGATTACTCTGGATCATCTGATGGCTGGGACAGTGTCTCCTCACATTCGCACAACGGTTGGCAATCTTCAGGATGGTGAACGAACACAAACTTGTAAAAAAATGAATTCTTGACTAGTGCTAACGAAACGTGAAAATGTTTTTTTCTTAACTTTTTTTAACCTTTGTAAATGTTATAATTTTGGTATTTGTATGTAATGAATAAATTTTGGAATGAAATATTGAATAGATAGTTTTGACAACATTGTCTATAGAGATTCCTCACGAACCACGGTGCTCCGATCTTCTAAACGCTGATATCTATCTTCTAAACCATAGGTGAAATTGACATGAGTAGTCGTTAAGACGACCGGTGCATTCGTATCTAGCGATGCAACGGTGTTTAAATCCCGCAGGCGGGTACCAATTTTTCTAATGAAATACGTACTTAACAAATGTTCACGATTGACTTCCATGGTGAAGGAATAACATCGTGTAATAAACATCAAACCCGCAAAACTATAATTTGCGTAATTACTGATAGTAGGACCTCTTGTGAGTCCGCACGGGTAGGTACCACCGCCCTGCCTATTTCCGCCGTAAAGCAGTAATGCCTTTCGGTCGGAAAGGCGGGGCAGCCGTTGTAACTATACTGAGACCTTAGAACTTATATCTCAAGATGGGTGACGCATTTACGTTGTAGATGTCTATGGGCTCCAGTAACCACTTAACACCAGCTGAACTGTGAGCTCGTCCAACCATCGAAGCAATAAAAAAAACATGAAATCTATAAGTATATATTTATATAAAAGAAAATGTATCTGCCTGTGTACGTTCACCTAATATTATCCTCCGTGCGTCGTATTCCTCAGTTCTGAGGGTCGTGACCTTTACTGAGCACTTTTGTTAGGACTATGTTTCTCCATTCCTACCTGTCCTCCGCGCAGTGGATAGCCACATTGATGCTGGATTCCAAAGTCGTCTTAATCTGATCGGACCAGCGCATGGGACTACGCCCCCTAGGCCTCTTTCCTTCCACTAATATTACACCTAATATTATAACATCCTTTAATTCCCATACTATATCTGACCTAACGAAGCACCGTCAGCCCGTGTGTGTAGGTAAGGTTGCGGTGTGAAATGAATTCTGACTCGTTAGAGGTACGGATGTGGGTTTATCAGTGAAAGGGGGTTTTAATTGGATAAACCCGGCATGCGCGGGCTGCCACTCCCGACGCGTAGCTGGATGTCGGCCAGTTTCTCCTAAGCAACAAAAAACCCTTAAAAAATAAAACGAAACTTTAAAATCAGTTTTACAATTTGACCTACCAACTCAATATTGATAGTAAACAAGCAAACATAATATGTTTCATTAATGTGAGAATACCTTCATGTGTCTATTTACAATTTTCTGTGGTAATTTTCTAGTTACACGAAAAGGGAGGGAGTGCTGTTGTGATTTGTAATGGCAAATATTAGAGTTGCAGCTAGACTGTTCATTTTAATTTAAGTTTAATATTTTTTAAGTTTTTTAAATCAGTAATTTAAAAATGTGAAAACTAGGCAATGTTTATTCTGATTATTTAATTTAGTCGTTTTTATATATCTCTATATTACAATAATTTAAATTTGAATAAGAACGGCATTGATTTTGAAATTATTTTGTGTGATAACTTATGGAACTTTTTATCGAATAGTTATCAAAAACTTTTCATAATTATTGTACTTTTTAAGTAACTTACGAAGTTAGTAAATAATCACGTAATTGGGATACCAAATTATACTTGTTGCAGGGAAACTGAAATTGTAGTACTCATTTGAGTAATACTCATGGTACCTACTCATTTTACTGATAAATACTGCGCCCTATGTGGCTGCCTCGTAATTATGCATTAAAATTTAATGGATAGCAAAATCGTTATTCCCAACAAGCATTATTTATACTAATTCAAGGTTTAATACAGTAAATCAAGAACATATCGAAAATAATTTAAAAGTCAAGTGCGAACTCCTGTAGAAGCCTCAGCATACTTTCGCAAGATGTGGTGAGTAACATGTCATAGTTGGACATAGCTAATATCATAAATATAAATTAAAAATTAATAAAAGATTTTTCAAATCAAGAATTAATTTTGAAGTTTTACTGCGACATGAAAGTAAATTGAATGGCAATAAATACAGAGGAATATAGTCAGAAACCCAATACTTTTCGTTGGAAATAAAGCTGAGTCTTACTCATTGTTTCTATTCTATTATAAACATAAGTTACTCGGAGATGTCTCAGGTAGGTACCCAAAGAATCCGATCACCTGTTTTTTTCTAAGTCGTTGTGCCAATTATGTGGCTCGCGTAATTGTTTCTGCGTCTGTATTCATCTTCTAAGAAATATCATGCTGGTCAAGAAAATTCTTTCGTTCTTCTTGATTGACTTCATGTCTCCTCGAACATAGAACCTCTCTCGAATGATGCCCACATGCAGAAGAGCGCGTTCAGAATTAGCCGTTTTTTGAATTAACGAAAACGTAAAAAGTGATATATAATTTTTTTCAGTTTCGAAAAAGCTTAAGAGGTAGACAAGAAGAGCCAAGAGCAAATGGTAAATCCAAAAATGTCCGATTTTTAATAAACAGCCACATTTTACACTGCGGTCTTCGCTTTAACGAAACCAACTGTCACACCCACTACATAGCGAAAGTCGCTATATTCTGTTTCATTGTAACCTACATGTTACAAGTAATGGAGCTGTATTGGTCCAAAGGTGACCAGGAGAAGTTATTTGAATGTTTCAGCATCTTATCATTTTGTGGAATGGGTGTCATGAAGTTAGTCATTCTTCGTGTATACCACCAACGTTGGCGATTCCTTTTAAACCAAGTATCCATTTTGGAAAACCGTCATTTAGATCCTGGACCATTAAGCTACGATTCAGACAATGACAATGACGATAATGAAATAGTTACATTTATTACGAAATACACGGATAAGTTTAAGAGAACGTCTTCGATTTTAATAAAGATGTACGCTTCGACTTTGGTAATTTACGTTCTATCGCCATTCGTTGAATACATTTTTCGTCAATTTCGTGGAGACTTGAATATTGGTAACCCCCACATCTTACCTGCCTGGACACCGTTGGATGAGTTTAGTGTCACTGGATACCTGATCATGGTTTCGTTTGAAACAGTTGCATGTATTTACTGTGTATTCGTACACGTGGCTTTTGATTTGACTTGCGTGGGATTAATGATATTCGCTTGTGGTCAATTTTATTTACTCCGCTATCGCAGCGAACGTATCGGTGGAAAAGGGAGAATATGCAGACTTTTTAAATCGACAGAGGTTCGAGCTCACTACAGAATTGTGTTTTGTCATGGCATCCACGTTTTACTAGTGCAGTGAGTATATAATTGGGCATCTTTTTTACTTTTCTTCATAAAACCGCATAATGTCGTCTTTGTCTAAAATACGCCCGGAGCACTCCTAACAATAATTCCTGCTATACCAGTATTCAAAGTGAGTGTGTGCTCAACGGCTTACGTACCCTCCACAATCAAAGAAAAATAATGTGGTGTACAAAATAAAAAAATAAAAAATAATGCATATAAATTTTCCAAAGTACTGTTGCTAGAACGCGTTGTATGTCCGTCGGGTGGGTATTACCTAACCATATTTGAAACAAAGCAGCGACACGATCCAGTTTGAAGCGTGAGGCAGCCGTTAAGCAATACAGTACAGATTTCGACCTCATATCTCAAGGTAGGTTGTACTGGTGGTAGGGCGTCTTGTGAGTTCAAGGTAGGTACCACCTCCCTGCCTATTTCTGCCGTGAAACAGTAAAGCGTTTCGGATTGAAAAGTGGGGCAGCCGTTATACTGTAAAAACTGAGACTTAGAATTCATGTCTCAAAGTGGATGGCGGCATAAAACTAGGGTCAGCAGACTAAAGCACATAAGTCAAAAAACTGTACTTTACAGGAATTAAAAAAAACTATTTAGAATCTTATACATTAACACACTTAATAATGTTTATTTGAATTATATAAGTCTATAACACTAACTTATTATTAAAATTAAATATTTTAAAGTAAATGTGATTATTTAATAATTAGATGACTTAAGTTATAAGGAACACAATAATAGTATGAGTTAAGTGAAAAAGATCAACAATTAAGATATATTTTATAATAATAATAAGTCATAAATATAAATAACAACTCAATGTTTAATTAAAATTCTTCTTCTTCATCGAGTTCTAAAATATCTGGATCAGTATTTCGTAAAGTTTCCAACGTGGGAAGACTTATGTAAAATTCATGGAAAATATCTAGTAATAAAGGGAGCAGCGAAATTAAAACATTTTTTTTCTCGATGGATATGGGTAATGGCTGTATAGATATTATATCATCAGTTTGAGAACCCCCTATGGATTCTCATAGCAACTGTCTTTATAAAATTGTCACTTTCATCTAACGGTTTCATTAAACATCCTCGGCAGACAGGTTCACGTTTACCATGTACAGTAAAAAAGTATTTTGATGTCTTCATTCTAAGCTTTTGCTTTTCAGGTTCAATAGCTCGTATTCTTTGCTTAGATTTATCTTGAATTTCCATTAAAGACGCCAAAGTATGCAGATATTTTTGCATATGATCCCATTTGCCAATATTCTGTAAATATGGCATGGTTAATGGTATACGTTCTTTACATTTCATTCTGCAAATAGCTTTTTTTTTTTTTGGTCAGGAGGAAATCGCCGGACTTCCGCCCTCCCCTAACTCTTTCAAATTCAAAATCATTTATTTCAACTTAGATGTCAGTATAACACACTTGCTTGAATGTCAATATACAATATACAATAACAATGTTATCTCTACCACCGATTCCAAAAAAAGCCACAGTCCTGAGAAGAACCGGCGAAACAAACTCAGCGGGCTTTTTTTTTGTTTTTTCTCAAAAAAAATTTTTTTCATAGTGCGATCTGATATACATTTTCTTTTTAAAGTTTTGTATGCCTGTCCTAAGTTACTTTTTTTTTTCTCTTTTTATAGTACGTATACTCTTTTTTGGAGACACATTAGGATTCATTGAAATTTCATCACAAGTACTTGAACTTGATGTGATTGGAAGTCTCGGTAATTCATAACATGGATCTCGTACAGAATCATCACTAGAGAAGTCAAGTACAGAATAGTATGTTAAACTACTGACTTGACCTGATGATGTTCACGGTCTATACCGTGAACATCATCAGGTCAAGTCAGTAGTAGTCAAGATCCTATGATCGTCTACTACTAGGTTCTCTGTGTTCAAAATCGACTGTTGATTTACATTTTCTAAAAAAGGACAAGACAATCATCTATTTATAATGATATAATATTGATATAATTACGTAATTTGCAAATCATAATTTTGAAGATATGTGAAAATATACCTTCATTGCTTTCCAGATGAGTGGATAACGCCATTTCAACTAATTTCTTGCCTCTTTGAATATTCATCTTAAATAATTAAAATATTCAAGCACTCACACACAACTAACCAACAAACTGTGCACAATCGACAACATTAGTAAATTAAAACCACTTACCGAAGTATTGTTTACGTTATAAATATTTTTAAGTAACCACTTTCTCTAAAGAAATGTTAAATTTTGATGTTCTTTATAACATAAGTCAGACTTCTTAAGTTAATAACTTTGTACTTATGGTGTTCCTTAGAACATAAGTCCAGTTATGTTTTTTATTTTGTTTGATTATATTAGGATTTGATAAGGTTGATACAGAACGCCGCTTGAATACGCCATGAAATACTTGAGTTTGATTTATGTGCTTTAGTCAGATTGTGTGTTGAGCAAAATGTAAACCGATGATGTAATAAAAAATAAATTGAAAATTTTGACTTATGTGCTTTAGTCTGCCGACCCTAGCATTAACGTGGTTGATGTCTATGGGCTCCGGTAATCAGGTAGGCCGTGAACTCGTCAACCCAACGTAGTAATACAAAAAGGCTCTTACGTTGTGATGTACCTACATATGTGGGCCCAGGCAACCCATAGCATCAGATGAGCTATAAGCACGTTCAATAAAAACCTTTATCGATGAACTAATCTGTATTTATTTATAGGCTAATAGAAGAACTTGACAGGTTGATAAAACATATCCTGGGTGTATACTTTTTTTTGGCTACTCTGACTTTATGTTCAGTGGCGGTTCGATTGAAAACGGTGAGTGAATTGTCGTTATCTTTCCCATACAGTACGGATTGAATTAAATTTTCTTCGGTGTTTTCAGGAGGATATGAGTATTACACAGCTTGTAAACTTACTGCAATATATGTGCGGTACCCTGACGCAATTGTTTTTGTATTGCAAATACGGCGACTCGGTTTACAATGAGGTGAATAATTAGTTAATTTATTTAAGCTTCATTATTTTTTTAATTTAATTTGTTCAAAGTCAATATTCTTTTTTCCCTTTATTGATGCACAAAGCAAATTACAACCATAGAAATTGTAAGTTAAAATATTTAATTTAACAATCTGGATTACAATTCAAAACAATTACAACTGAACAGATGCTTAAATACCTTGTGTGTATATACATGTATATACACATATGTGTGAGTGTTTGTGTGTATGTACACACATACACACATAACCGCACACGAACATACACACAACAGCACACACCCACACACAACAGCACACACACACACACACTATGCTATGTTAATAATATGTAGTACACCTCAATATCCCGTATGCTGTATGTTTTTCAGAATTTTTGTAGGTAGATAAAAAGGTTCCTTCTTTGGCAGATATAGCTTTTAGTGCTAAGACCGCCTATTATACAATTATACCTACCTGCCTATTGACTGTTTTTAAATGTTAATTGTGTTTTGGTGCGCAATAAAATATGTATATTCTCTTTAATTTTTGCTAGGCTAATACTTTTTACATAAATCAAGTTTTTAGCCTAGGACCCTAGTAAGAGTAATAGATCTATCTATCTAGTTAGATGTAGATAGTAATCTACATCTAGTTAGATGACAATAGTATCCCTAAATAGGTATTTTTATTGCATAGAAAGATGAACGAGCTCACGGCCACCTGATGTTAAGTAACCATTGATATCACAAAGCGTCAAACATTTTTTACGGGTTTACTTTTCATTGCAAAATCTATATATACGTTTTTCATAAATATAATGAGATAATATGTTACATATAGAGTTCAGTGAATATGGGCGAAGGTCCGTTTGCCGCTGCCATTTGGGTTCTCAGTCCCAAGATTCGTCGAGAGCTTGTGATATTAGGAGCGGGAATGATGCGACCCCACCGCTTACATGCTGGCCCCTTCAACTCTCTGGACTTGCCTTCTTTTATACAGGTATGTGTACTATGGTCATGGATCTACGTTAACTTTAATTCATCATCATTATCATCTCAGCCTGTCTACTATCCACTGCTGAACATAGGCCTCTCCAACTGATGTCCAGTGCGGCCGGTCCGTTGTCACCTGCATCCAACGTGACCCAGCGATTTTCACCAGGTCGTCGGTCCATCTGGTAGGTGGCCGTCCCATACTGCGCTTGCGAGTACGTGGTCTCCACTCAAAAATCTTTCTGCCCCAACTTTAATTACCAAATATAAAAACATCGCTTTATCCACTGATTATGTAAACGCTGTTAAAGAAAGTTGAGTTAAAAACATTTAGAAAACAACAGTTAAGATGGTGATATTGAAAGTCTTTGAAATTTATCATTTATAACGATAAAGCCACTAATAAAGCAGTGGACCTCCTACTTTTTTAGGGAGAGTACTCCGCAGCCTCTTCAAACTCTGCCACCTCTTTTTCAGTGACCTGAAATTGGGATCTAAACACTAAGCTAATCTTTGGTTTTCGGTAATAAATAAGACATCGCAAGACGCAAGGTCAGGGCTATATGGCAGATGAGTCAACAGTATTAATTCAGATTTCAAAAAATCAGTTGTACTTCTGGCCAAGTTTTCTCACGGGTTGTATTAGTGAAGGAGAATCCTAGTGCAGGACACTGCTCTCGAACTCTTTCCAAAACAGTTGACAACCAAATATTGTTATAGTATATTGCTTGGAAGCGACCCTTTATTCACAACAATCGTGACAAGGTAGCCAATCCGTCCACGTAATGACACAGTAATCTTTTTCCCCACGTTTTGTCCTATTTTCACTTTTGTCAGCAATTGTTTAGAAGGAAAGGCCCTCTTCTTCTTTTTCATCGTTCCCTCACTGCTGAGGATTGCGACCACATTTGATTTTCCTCCACAGCGTTCGATCATGGGTGGCATGGACCGCATGGTATAAGATTCCACCAACCGCTTTCTTAACTAGATCTGACCATCTGGCTGGCGTTCTGCCCACAGCGCGCTTGCACTCTATACGACCCGAAGTCATGAGCTTCTCTAATTCATATCAGGGAGACCGCATGATATATCCCAAGAAGCTCATAGCACGTTTCCGGCAGATGGCAGACAGCCTTTTTAATACGCTTTTATTAGCTTCAGACTTATGTATGTTAGTATGTAACGGAATCTTTGAACATGATTTTGACCCCCTCCAAACGTAGGATTAACTCGAAATTTGGTATACTTCTTAAGGACCGATGACAATTCAATATTTAAAAAAAATGTGTTACTCTCGTATTGAACATTTATTCATTTTATTTTTAATTTAATCTTCTCAATAGCGTTGTTATGACAAATTAAATAGGTTGAAAATTTTCTCCCTATTTGGGCTATTAATAGACTCAGAAGTAAATAATTATTAAGAGAAAGTAATCAAGCCTATTTATGTTTTTCTCGAAATTCTAATTTATTGCAGGACGCTATGTCGTATTTCGTCATGAAATTGGCTTGTAAACAGGAGTTAAGTATTTTCTTAGAACCACTTCTTTTTTCCTACTTATTGCTAGTAATCTTGAGATGTTATGCTAGCTTCACCGGACGTGTAGGCGTACTTACGGGGCTCAGCCTAGGACTTTGGTAACATCTACCCTAGCAAGAGCAGTGCTTTGCTGAATCTACCACCAAATCGGAATCGTGACCCACTGAGATAGTCCGGCGAGAAACTCAGTGGGCTGTTAGAACTCCGGAAATCGAAACTCGGCATTACATCTTACATAGTCAAATGTAATGCTGAGTTAGGTTTAGCCGTCTTACATAGTTTTAGATCGGACACTTAAATTGCTAATGCTATAATAGAATAATAGAAAATCAATTATGCTATTTTGTATAATTCTAAATGTTCATCTTTATTTTGCAGATAGTACGAGCTGCTTACAGCGTATATGCTGTTTTCGGACAGAAATAATTAGCGACAAAAAAATTATACATTAAATTTCAAGTAAAATGTAGTTCATCATTAGTTGTTTAGAATATTTTCGTAGATTCTGGACTAATAAAACACTATTAAAAATATATACACAATATATTTGTTTTTCGTACATAATAAATCTACGACTCAACTTTCCTGTTTGTTGTTGTTATCAAGTTATGTAAAAGAAATCAAAATTGATTAAAGTTATGGTGAACAGTACAATTCAATTCATGCGCGAGCGTTACTATTTTTGTCATAAGTTATATACAGTTTAAGATTATTTTTCAGACCAGGTATGTAAAGAAAGCGTTTTTTTATAATGAATACAAGTGTACAAGAAAAAGGCTAAATCAAAATTTTTAATTTGTCTATTTTTCGGATAGCACGCAATGTGATGCAACTAAAACTAAGGTTATTGCCCCGGGGTAGCTTCTGCCTTCGCTATAGATTGCTGCTTCACAAAACATATCATCACGATACGCCGTAATGAAATAAATTTAAAATATATTATGTTATGTCAATACATTCGTTATTTGTTTTTCGACATTCAAAAATATTGTATAGGTATACTGTCATGAAATATAGCCATTTAGTGAAATGACTATGAGTTATGAGTTTTAGTGCATCAGATCACCATTACGATGGACCGACCAAATAAAGGAAGCTCTAAACGACTGAGAAGAAGAATGAGTTTTGAAGTAGATCTCTTACAATAGAGATGCATTAAGATGAAAACATTTCAAGAACGACGTTTCTCCAGCCAGGCTGCGACAGACGCTCGGTGCTTCTGAGACCACTTGATGTTGTTGTGAACTGTTTCTAGAGCACGTTTCCTTGAGGCCTCGCCCGCACCAGCTTCTGGATATTGAGCGAAGAATGCTTCCATCTGTCAAAAGTAACAAACGAGACTTTTGTTACCGGTGGTAGGACCACTTGTGAGTCCGCGCGGGTAGGTACCACCACCCTGCCTATTTCCGCCGTGAAGCAGTAATGCGTTTCGGTTTGAAGGGTGGGGCAGCCGTTGTAGCTACACTTGAGACTTTAGAACTTATATCTGAAGGTGAATGGCGCATTAAAATCAAATCAAATCAAAAAATATATATTCAACATAAATGAAAGTACATACTTGTTGAACGTCAAAAAGAACTACCGCCAATTCACAAAAACTAGCCTTCGTCCTGAGAAGAACTGGCAAGAAATTCAGCGGGCATGTCTTTTTTTTAAATATTAGATTTTTTTTAATATTAGATTTACGTTGTAGATGTCTATGGGCTCCAGTAACCAGTTAACACCAGCTGCTGTGAGCTCATCCACCCGTCTAAGCAATAAAAAATAATAATAATAAAAAAGTACGAACGTCCTTATCGCACGTTTTGTTTACAATGACGTAGATCGAAAAAAGTGTAACAAAGTGAAAATAAATGTTTTTTTTTTAAATCTAATCGTAAACTCACCTCGTTTAGTTTTTGCTGCGTGCTAAATGATTTCGTGATGCTGGTAATGAGGCCGCCCAAGTAACGGCTGTTCAACGTGAATCGTTCGACTAGCTGGGGCCATCGCGTCCTCACGTCGTCCCAAACCAGACCGGTGCCGGTAGGGTTGTCGCTGACGTCCGCTAAAACGTTTAAGTAATCCTGGCTCCGAATGTTCGCTTCGTCCCAAGACAGCTCCAAGTATCTGTAATTACGATAACATAAAAATAAAACGTTAAAGGTTCATAGAACGACACTACACTACACATCTTTCGGATATTCATCCAAGGACAATATGCAAGGTCACCTCTAGCTGTTGCTACAATATTGACTCAATTAATGAATTCAAATCATCTAACTTGTGCCCTTATTCGTAGTAATAGTATTCGGTCTGTCTGGTAACTTCTCTCTCCCAAGTACTTCCTACACCCTTTCTAGAGTTCGATCTTAGAGAAGCGATGTTATAGTAAAACTTTAAGATTCTACTATATTTTTGAGATAATACAATTTAGGGTAAACTGTGCACTAATTGTCACTCAAACATTCTTGTATAATAAATGACACTGAAACAGAATTACTGGCAATGTCAATACGGTATGATAATTAGCACTAAAAAAAATACGACCCACTGCGTTTCTCATCGGATATTCTCAATGGGTCGCGATTCCGATCCGGTGGGAGATTCTGCGAAGCACTGCTACTAGAGCTAGTGTTAGCATTTCTCTCAGGTTGAGCCTGTGAGGTCTCCTACCCGTCCCCGGGCGTAGCTGGAACAGCCCCTAAATTGTAAATAACTTCAATTTTCTGGTAATACCATTAAGGTTTTTCGTTTACCTTATTTATTGCAATAAGATCATCGATACACTAATATATTATTTCCAATTTTGAGTTACTAATAACAATACAGATTATATCCTATATTTGCATAAATGATTTGTGTTTACTAATTCGTAAATAAATACTACGGACCTTTTTAAGATGTTCGCGTCACGGGACGCCGATAGGGCGCTTCGAATTTTCGTCGCTTCGAGGACGTCCGTCTCTTTTAAATAGATCTCCCACAACTTATCCCATTCCTGCTGAGTGGCCGATCTCATTCCTGTAATATCATAAATTGTTGATTTTTCTTGCATTCAACGAGCAAACTGATAGCTTCGTTTTGAACCAAATTCTTCCGTTACTATTCTAATAGTACATAGATACTACAGAAAAAAACTGTTGTGAATACATGTCTCCAAAGCTCAAGGATTTCGAGAAGATAATAAACTACACACTAAGACTAAACTGTTTAAAGCAACATTTTCAAACAATAGATCTGACCTTACCGATGTCAAATATTATTTATGCACGAAATGTAACATAAATAAGAATCTGCTAATACGCCAGGTCGACGACCTCTTACAACGCGGAAGTTAACTTCACTTTACATTGCGAGTTCACGAAATACGAACATTCTAAAACTTACGCTCCGTATAGTGCAATCTAGTATACAACGTAACAAAAATAAAACCATTTCTCTTTATCGAAATTCATATCATTGCATAATAAAAATGACACTTTAAATTATAAGTGTGATTCAAGTGGAAGATATCTTTAGTTTAAAGTACAATGCTTCGTTTAGTTAGAACTAGTACTACCATAATATTATGTTAATGGCAAATATTTACCATAATAATAAACAAAGTCCCGCAAATCTGGTTCGATCACAACGGCATCGGGAGTACCGTGACCGTTCAGCCAACTCAAGAATAAATTTCTTACTTTCTCTTCGGCGTCTGGCAATTGGTAACGAGTTGCTAGAGTTAGTATCCTTGCTCGAAGTAACCTATAAAACATGCTTCCATTAAAATACTGTTTTTTTTTAGTATTAGCGACAAAGGGAACATGTTCCACTAAGCGAGTGATATTATTCGGTAGACTGTCAGTCCGAATATAATTGTTCGTAATTCGTTTTTATGTAAGCTTATCTTGAATATGTGGAATGACGCAAAATCGAAATAAGTTTTTAAAGTAATATACGCGTTACAAGTTCAAAATAAAAAAGTTAAAAAATAAAGTTTTTATGTAACAGTATTTATGGCCAGACTAGTTATATATATCACAAAATAATTTCCACTTGAAGCAGTCCTACTTCATATTTCAAGCTAATATTTCAAGGTGCGCATCTTGAAATATGAGCTTGTTTAACGATAGGTCCCACCTATCAAATAGGAAAGCAGGACAGCTGCGTGACAGATGTAGCAGTATGGCACCTACCCGCGCGGATTCGCAATACGCCTACAGTACTGGGTTGTACCCAACGAGGGTTTCATTAAAGAACATCTTACCTTTCAATAACTCCAATATTAACCTTTTCCCAACTTTGTTTCTCGTATACAGGTTTCACTAGACCATGGATATAGCTCTGCGAAAGAATCGTGTTTGGTTTCTTTAACATTTAATTTATAAACTTAGTGAGGCCTGTGTGCTTGTAATGTGAGTTTTTAACGTTCTCGATAGCGTAAAAGTTAACTCAAATTTGTATGGAGTCGGAACAGCGCCCCTAGCGGCAAACGTAGACAAACGGACACATGAGCTCTAAGTCTCTCCACGGTACAGTGATTGCACAAATTACAATCAGTTGCAGATTTAATTTTTATTTTACACTTCATTGTTCCTTCATGGTGAAAGTCATTCATCCAACATGGTGAAAGTCATTCATGTAACTATAATTGAGACCTTAGAACTTATATATCAAGGTGGGTGGCGCATTTACGTCGCAGATGTCTATGGGCTCCAGTAACCACTTAACACCAGGTGGGCTGTGAGCTCGTCCACTCATCTAAGCAATAATTTTTTTTATCCAAATACATGGATGGTATTTAGTTAGAACGATTGATACTTGAATGCGGGATTGAAACATCGGCCCAGTCGCATCGTTCGATACGAGTACACTGAGCCTCTTATCTTTTACGCCACGCCTTCAGGCCCAAAAGATAGATCATAACTATTAAATCGGGTACCCACCATACAGATATAAAATAAAATTGAAACAATAAGTATTTTCGTGTACTAATCTGTACATATGTTTTTTAAATATAACTTACCTTAAGGTCATCGTACGCTGGTGTGTTCAGCAATTTTCTGGCTAAGTCTCCAAATATTGATACGGCGGTCGTCCAAGGTACTTCATCATCCTCCACAGTGAGATACGTTGTGAGATCCAACGCTATATTGTAAGGCAACGAGCCGGCTTCGGCGAGGGCAAACGCGTCATCCAATAAATGCGCTCGATCAGATATTGTTAACTGTACATATGACAAAAAAAAAATATCTATACTAATATTATAAAGAGGAAAGATTTGTTTGTTTGTTTGTATTGAATAGGCTCCGAAACTACTGAACCGATTGGAAAAATTCTTTCACTGTTGGAAAGCTACGCTATCCCCGGGTGACATAGGCTATATTTATTATATTTTCAAAAAAATTAGGGATCCTTACTGAAACTCCAATAATGTAACCCAACGTGTAAAAAATTNTTTGTATTGAATAGGCTCCGAAACTACTGAACCGATTGGAAAAATTCTTTCACTGTTGGAAAGCTACGCTATCCCCGGGTGACATAGGCTATATTTATTATATTTTCAAAAAAATTAGGGATCCTTACTGAAACTCCAATAATGTAACCCAACGTGTAAAAAATTACATATTTTTTTTTACATCGCGTGCGCTACTACCCATGCGAAGCCGGGGCGGGCCGCTAGTATCGTATATGTATACGGGCGCAAACCGCCATTATTGGCAATAATTAACACAATTTTTAGTTTAGTTTATTCCTTATGTATTGTTTATTAGTAACATGAAACTGTTATTCTACCATATTTAATATTTAATAAACACTGTTTTGAAAATGAAAATGTTCAGAAGATTTTAATGTTTAATTTATAACAAATACAAAATACTCAAATATTAATAATAAATTGTGTTTATAATCAACATAAACACTTTGAATAAGTATTGTAATTTTTTATACAAATCATGTTGTTGGCGCCATCTATTATCAGACTGGATAATGATAAATTTCGTATAGATTAAGTAAACTAGGTAATTTAAGTAAAATAAATACATGTCAGAGTCATGTAAAATTTACTAAAATAATTATTGTGAATATTAAACTACATTTGATGAATTCACGCCATTTATGCCGTCTCTATGAGCTGCGATAACCACTAAACGCCAGTCGTGAGCTAGTCGGCCTATCTAAGGACAAAATAATGTTTGTAAGTTACTTGTAAGTTGATAGACAACATCATTTTAGATCTTTCCTGGCAGCATTGTATGTATATCTACATTTCAAATTAAGGCTAAAGAAATGGAAGTCAGTTAATGTAGCTTGCACGTGCAAAGCTTCTGGCTTCTGTAGTGTCTAAATAGTTGCACGACATAATGTCGAATAGTCTCTATATTAGATAATTCCGGTTAAGAACACCAAATATGCAAAATCATTTTTACATTACTCTTAATTGTACAATTTTTTTTAAAATACACTACCTACACAACAAACGGACGCGTTATAAAAACATTGATTTTTTTATATAATGAACCACCATCATGACAACTCAGTGAAAAATATATGTTGTTTAGGGTACAAAGGCTACTTATAAATAGAAAATCTGTGTTAGCTCACCGCATTATAATAAATGTTTAAATATAAAAATGTTTTTTTAATTAAAATGTTAAAATATAAATACTCATATTAAAATATTTTTTCAACACGCTGTATAACAAAACTGCATTAGTGTCAGTATTGCGAAATATCTTGCATTATTTGAACAAACAGTAATGATAAGTGAAACGTCTTCACGTGCATGCATAGAAAAACGTTTTCAATTTACCTCTTTCGATTTAGCGTTTAACTCTAGTATAAGATTTTGCCACATCTCATCGGCATAATGAACTCTATAATAACCAATTTGATTGTTATTAATTTTCAGCCAGCTGATATTGTCATCGAGATTCAGTGTTACTGAAAAATAGACACGAAAATTATTTTTAATTATTTAGAGATTCATTATCTTTTTTTTATGATTGAGGGATTACTGGTTATCCAGTTTCACAGGGACAGGTGGCCGAGCAAGAGCTCAGCCAGGAGGGGTGGGATTTGCTAACAGCTACCCAAGCCCCTCCAAGGAAGACCTAACAACACAAGAGTAGCTGATTCGCGAATGAATCTACTATCGGGTCGGAATCGCGACCCACTGCGAAGATCCGGCGAGAAACTAAACTGGCAGACGTTTAGGTTAGGTTGCAACGCCACTGCAGCGTGAATGTTTTTCCTAATTAGATGGCTGGACTATCTTACGGCCCATCTCATGTTAAGTGTTTAGCGGAGCCCAAAGACATAAACAAAGTAAATGCCACTTACTTTTATAGTAATAAGTGCTACCCCTTCAAATTGGGCGGGCTCACAAGACGCGCTGCCTAAAACTCAAAACGTTACACATACCTCCAGACATGAGACGAAGATTTACAATACGTTTTATAACTAAATAGAATAAAACTAAGTAACTCGTCTATCATTGATCAAAACAATTTGTTAATAAATAAATAAAAAACTCACCGCTCTCTACCGTATCGGGGAACCAAAGAACTCTGCCGCAATTTCCTTTATTTGTCTTGTAAGTTACCGGAACGTACCAGCGGTAACTATGATCACACAAACACAATTTACGATTTTATTCACGCCTTAAGGTTTATTGGTCGAGTAAATCGATCGATATCTCTGTTGTTTCGACACTGTCAACAGTTAAAACGAAGGAGGCTTTCATACTCAGTGTTTACCGGTTACGCTGATGCAGCCTCTCAAGGCTAACAGATTAGATAGAAAAAAAAAACGAATTTCACCACAACAATTTATTGCTCTTGTAGGCAGACAAGCACACGGCCCACCCGATGGTAGGTGGTTACCGTCGCCCATGGACTTCATAATGATTATGTTAATTAAAACTTACTTGAACTTCGAATCGTTCGTGTATTCTGCGTCAGGATCGAGCAAAAACCGTTTTTGAGTTACAACGTATGTGTTTGTTCCATTCCCCGGCTCGACGTAGAGTAGTGGATAGCCCATTTGTTGTGTCCACGTATCCATGATGTGACTAAAACGTTATTTGAGTCGTTATTTATCAAGATCGATTATTCTTAAGTGTTTGAGTCCATTGACGGCACAATGTCAAGACCACCTTGGGAAATTAGATAGATGTCCCTTGTACATTAGATGAATGGCCATAAATACGAGTATACATGTCATTTCGGATCCTGCCCATCCACTATCGGTACTTTTAGGCATTCAAAGCACCGGCCAGATTTCAACGTGCAACTTAATCCGCGGAGAAATCCACAATCCACTGAGTTTCTCGCCGGATCTTTTCAGCGGGTCGCAATTCCGACAGAGAAGCAATGCTCTTGCTAGGGCAGAAGTTAGGAATTCTCTCAGGTTGAACCCCATAATATGCTCGTCAAACCAAGGAGAACAAGAGCAATAATCATAGAAGTTAGGCAAGCATAAAACACTCTCAGCTCAATTATTTCTTATTTCTCTATTCCTTAATCTAACCATGACTGAAAACTGAAAGCTTAAGGTATTCAGTTTAATTTTATGACATCAGAAATGATTGGTTTTAAATCACTTCTTGGCCGCTCACATTACCCTATAAAGTGTCAATAATTATGATCCTACGAATGCCGATGTTCATGAGACACTTTCCACCAAATGGACCATACATTCGTAGGCAATAGCAAAATGCTAAGCAGAAACCAAACAAACATTTATTATTTATTTATGATGGTTCATATTGTCATATCTAAACTTACGTCAGGCTTAAATCAGGATTATCCTGTTTAAAGTAAACTTCAAGACAGGATAGTAAATCTTGAGTCACTGTATTACCGTACTGAAACTTTTTGAGGTAATCTGAAACGCCACGACGGAAGTTTTCTTCGCCAATGAAGCCCTCCAACATTCTTAGTATGGACGCGCCCTGTGAATTAGCGGTTTCATAGTTTTGGTTTAGAAAAAACAAAAACGGTAGTCTGCAGTTAAACAATCAGTTCTTATTGTAGAAATTACAATATTTATAACTAATTTATTGCTTAAATGGATGGTTACCGGAACCTATACACATCTCCAACGTAAATGCTGCCACCTACCTTGAGATATGAGTCTACGTCCCGATATATACAGTACAACGGTTGCCCAACCCTTCAAACCGAAATGCATTACTGCTTATATAGCAGAAATTGGCAGGGCGCTGGTAATTACGCAAATTATAATTTTTGCAGGTTTTATTTTTAATACAAGATGTTATTCCTTCACCGTGGAAGTCAATCGTGAACAGTTGTGAAGTGCGTATTTCATTAGAAAAAATAGTACGATTCGAACCCCGGCGCTATCACATCGCTCGATGCTTATACACCGGGCTTCTTATCCTTTGGGCCAAGACAACTCCTTCAAAGTGTTCTGCTTTAATTCAATTTACCCTGTAAACTTTATCCTAGATTTCTATCTTGCCAATAACTTGACCATGCCATCAGGCGGGCCGTGTGCTCATATGCAAAGGCTATAAAGTATCCAAAGAAGTAACCGAATCACGTGGGAGGTCATCCATATGGTGGACTGACCAGATCGAGTTAGCTGTGCGCCAATCCTTAGTGGCTTGCAGAGCAAATCCTCAAGATTGGTCTTTTATCGTGACAAATAGCGGTATTACATACGGTAATTAACGGCATCTGACTGCACTAGCAGTTGACCCTGACTTTGCATTGAGCTCAATGACCGAGAATAACAAATAATTCTTCTTCCAACAATCTGCAAAGGTACATGTTTAGTAGTGAAAATTGAGACACCTACATATTTCCACTGGTAGACAAGTCCACACTGAAGTTGATGATATGTCTACATTACCATTGCACTAAATAAGAATTGAAATCAATGGCTAGTCTTTAAAATATCTCCAGTGACAGTATAAAAGTTATCCACACTTCTGGGCGCAATTAATATTTTTTAAACCAATCGTACTTCAATCCATGGTCCTAGTAACAATATACTTACTTTATTGTAAGAAATTGTGTCAAATATTGATGTTATCTGATCGGGTGTAGACACAGTTTGTACTATAGGATGACTTGAAAGTTTGGCATCAGTCACTAGTACAGGATGAACAGTTTTTGTTAAGAATTGATCCAACTGCAAATAAAACGGTATCAGTTTTTTCACTAATGTATACGAAAAAACGGAATATTGATATACTTGTGACAGTTAAAAATATGAGAAAATAGGGTTGTGTAATTAGATAAGACTTCCAATCCAAACGCGTGACTGCTTCACACCAGAAATAGGCAGAGTATTAGTACCTGTGCTAACTTACAATACGTCAAACTATTATTGGAGACATCAACATTCCCGATCCTGCGGAAAAAATGAAAAGCAGTCGACGTCGCCCAAAACTATCGATCCACTAACGGTGCTTCTAGGTACTTCAAGCACCGGTCACCGTTCTCGTCGAACCCGTCGCTTGCGACAAAGGGCTCGACGAGTAAATTAACTCTCAGACACAGCCCACTGAGTTTCTCGCCGAATATTCTCAGTGGGTCGTGTTTCTGCGAAGCACGACTCTTGCTAGGGTTCGTGTTAGCAACGTCGTCATGTTTGAGCCCCGTGAGCTCACCTACTAGTTAAGGTTACGCTGGAATAGTCTCTCAAGGCTACCACCTAAGGTAGGAAAAAAAAAAAAGAGACATCAATGAATTTAAAAAAAACTGGCTATCATTTACAAATCAGGCTATCACATAAAACCAATTTCTTGATATTATCAATTTGTGTTTGAAACTATATAACTGCATTATAATAAAATTATTAATTATTAAAATACTATTTACCATGGCCCACGATGGTTCAATTGCATTCAATGATTTAACTTGCATGTAGGAAGCAAAACCTTCATTTAGCCATACTTCATCCCACCATTTCATTGTCACTGCAAGATTAGTTGACAAATATTTATTTTATTCAGAAAACTGGGGCAATTATCACAGGACAATGACCGATGAACATGATATTTGATATCATAATAATAACATTGTTCCTTTATTTTTATTGGTAAAATTATTATATTGTAGGCCCATATATTATACATCAATAGTATCTTTTGTAAAATAATCTAATCCGTAGTTTTACCTAAATTTCCAAACCACATGTGAGCTAGTTCATGAGCTATAGTGTTAGCAATACTGATCTTATTTTTAACAGAAGCAGTAGCCTCATCAACCAGAAATGATGTTTCTCTGTATGTTATAAGACCCCAGTGCTCAGTGGCTCCAGAAATGTAGTCAGGTATTGCAATCATATCTGAAAAAAATAGTAAACAGTGTGATAAATAAGTTTCTAAGTGAACAATAATCCTCATGTGTAAATAAAAAAAATGTTTATCATGCATAACATCTCATACTTTGCAAAAGTCAGAAACTGACCTATTGATTATAATCAATGGCAATATTTTGAATAATAGTGCACCCTAAATATAATTTTTAATCATAAAACATATTTTACCTAATTTTGGCAAGGGAAATTCTACTTCATAATATCTTATGTAAAATTCAGTAGCTCTCTTCCCAATGTCTTGAGCAAAATCAATCTTATGAAGTTCATTTTTTTGAGCAAAAGATCTAAGTTTGAAGGTATTTCCGATACCAGAAGTATTAATTTCAACATCCTTATATCCAAAATCACATACAACAAAACAAGCCAGATATGTTGACATTGGGACGCTGGTCGCAAATTTGACAGTTTCTAAATTAGATGATGGGTCCTGTGTCACTGATATTTCCTGAAAAATCACAAAGCTTGAATGAATAAAACACTTCTTTTAATAAAAAAAAATTAAAACACATAAAATGCCTTTATTTAGGTATAAATAGCTAAAAATGGATTTACACACTTACATTCATGTTTGACAATGCCACATACCCTTCGGGTTTAACAAGTGCAATATCATATGTGGCTTTGAAATCTGGCTCATCAAAACAAGGGAATGCTTGGCGAGCATATGTTGGCTGAAATTTACTGGCTACCATTGTTCTGAAATTAGAAAAAAATTATTGTGAATTATTTGTTACTCTTAATACTCAAAATTAGTCAAATTGAAAAATCTATAGAATTGAATTTATAATTACATATAATGTAAAAGAATATACATTTAATATAAAAAATTCTAAGATGATATTGCAGAGAATGACCCCATCTCTACAATTTACATTGAATATCTTTGTTATATTATAATTGATTTGTATAATGTATTCTTGAGAATAAGTAGTTTGTTAACATATACCTATTATCCTTTAAATGTGAAAGGTAGAAACCAACAATTTTTCTACTCAAATCACCACTGAACTCAATATTCATTTGATAGTTTCCTGACTTCAATACATTCTCAAAATGTACCACTAGTTGCTGTGATTGTTTTTCTGTCAAATACTTTAGTATGGATATAGCTTCATCGCCTCTATTTAACGTTAAGCCTTTAATTTTTAAAAACTTTGAGTGTAAAGCAATTTTTTTCTGGTCCGCCTTTACAGTTATATTTATTTTTACTGTTCCCTCGAAAACGCCTGTCTTGAGATCGGGTTTTAATACGAGGTCGTAGTTCGTTGGATAAACCAAAGGTGTAAATCGATCACAATCTTTCATTTTAGTCTCAGAGTATTCTGTTACTAGTTTTGCAGTAAAATGACTATGCTTAGCGTTATTCTTCAATAAGTTAGCAAGTTTTCTTAAATTGTTTGTAAGGAGTCTAGTAAGCATCAGTGTGGTTCAACATGAGGAGTCAAAATTTTTATTACAAAGTTGTGCGTAAGTTTTACATTTTACTTTATGTTAACAAAAACGATTTTACGTTAGTATTTAGATTGATAAATTAGCTGACACACGAATTTCTGTAAGAAAAAAGATGGAAAAAAGACAGCATTTATGACACGGTTTTCAGTGACAATGACAATGTTGACATGCTTGGGCATTTATATAGAACAAATGAACTTAGCCCATACTACAAATCTTATGTTATAAAAGTCAAATGGTTTTGACTATAAAACTTAATGTTTTATGGTTTGTTGTAGATATGAAAAATTAAATCAAGTGCAATGAAATTATGAAAATGGCTTGAAATTAAATAATAAATGAAACAAAATAAAAATAATATAGTAATACCATTAAAATGATGGGAATTTACAAAAAATCAATAGACTTTTAGAAAAAAAAACAAAGAAATCTCTTCTAGTCCATGAGGGCGGTGGCGACGGTGACGGTGACTTAAGTCCCTCGAAAATGATAATTATTGACATGGTTGTATATTCTATGATAACAATTTTCGTAAGCGATTATTTATTTCATTAAATTACGCATCATTATTTCCATGCATTATTGAGCAAACTACTAGTAATTTGTTTTACTTAATAAGCTAATTTATTTTACACTAGCGACCCGCCCTCGCTTCGCTTCGGAAACATTAAAACACACATGAAACCAAAAAAATAAAATAAAAAAAAGTAAAAAAAAAGTAGCCTATGTTCATCAGGGACAATGTCGGCTTCTAATGGAAAAAGAATTTTTCAAATCGGTCCAGCAGTTTCGGAGCCTATTCGAAACAAACAAACAAATCTTTCCTCTTTATAATATTAGTATAGAGTATAGATATAGAAGTCATTGTTACGAGTAGACGAGTGATCTACAAGAGAAGTAAATTGTCTTTTTGTAACGAAGTGACATTACGAAACTTGCATAATAATATATACGTTGGATCATGACTTGTGCAGTGTGCTTAGTGCGAGATTTTTAACATTTATGATAGCGTAAAAGTTAACTCAAATTTCTATGCAGTTGGAACAGCGCCCCTAACGGCAAACGTAGACAAACGTTCCAACTCCATACAAACTTGAGTTAACTTTAACGCTGTGGAGAACTTTAAAAAACTCGCACTCAGCACACAGGTGTAGTGTTCTCTCACGTGGCCCGCAACCAAGTACTCTCTTTCCAGGTCAGCCAATCCCGGTTTTGCAGGATACTGCCGGAGCATGGTATATAAGGAATGTGAATGTGAAATGAGATCTCCACGACGATCTTAAATTATAATCAATACGTAAGTATCTGAAGACAACGTCAGAACGCTTCTTTGAAAACTTACGCAACATGATAGCTCTCTAATTATGATAGCCTCTAATTCACACCCAGCTGTCGCCCTAAGCAAATTCTATCGGATCCCCGATCCACTCTCGGTGCTTTTAGGCAGCAAACATCGGTCACCGCTCTCGTCGAACTAGTCGACTGCGACGAAGAGCTCAACGTGCAATCTAACTCACTGACTTTTTCGCCAGATCTTTTTAGTGAGTCGCGATTTTGATCCGGTGATAAATTAAGCGAAGTACTGCTCTTACTAGGGCTAGTGTTAGCAAGTTCTAAGGTTTTAAGCCCGGCGCGCTTACCTACCAATCTTTACGTAGCCGATGTATCCACTTAGGATAATAACGATTAAGTAGGCATAAAGAAAGATATGTTTATCTTAAAAATGTTTGTAAATTGAAAACATAAGATTCTTTAAGCTTTACAAGATTAACTCTAATTCATTATTTTCTTCAGTTTTCGCGAGTTTTAGATATAAAACTAATTTTGGTATGGTTTAATTTTAATTCAAGGCGTACTTTAATCAAGATTAAGTCGTAAAAGTATTTTCAATTACATAGTTAATTAAAGTTAAATTTTGCGACTGAAACAGCTGCAAGCTCAATGCATCCTAAATAAATAATCTCATACTTATTTAACAATAGGATTGATCGATAACATTTATTGCCTACGGTTTATCGAACTTTTTCACATTTGCAACACACCAATGTTATCCGTAACGTTAATTTTAAAAAAAGGACTCTATTTTTATTTTATTTTTTCTGTTTCTTTTCCTAATGGTACTTCAAGTTGTGGAGAGTATTAAGCGGTAGGCAGCGGCTTGGCTCTGCCCCTGGCATTGCTGAAGTCCATGGGCGACGGTAACCACTCACCATCAGGTGGGCCGTATGCCCGTCTGCCTACAAAGGCAATAAAAAAAAAAAAAAAAGGTAATGAGATAAAATTACTCACCCTCCGTTTTTCAAAGAACTTGAGTAAAACCCAATTATTTTCTTATCCATGTTTCCTTGGAATACAATTTCCACATTGTATTTTCCCCTCTGTATTTGATCATTTAAGTGTATTCTGAGCAATTCTCTTTTATCGGTACTTATGTTTGTACTTGATATTGAGACTTCCACGTTCTTCGAATCTNAAAGGTAATGAGATAAAATTACTCACCCTCCGTTTTTCAAAGAACTTGAGTAAAACCCAATTATTTTCTTATCCATGTTTCCTTGGAATACAATTTCCACATTGTATTTTCCCCTCTGTATTTGATCATTTAAGTGTATTCTGAGCAATTCTCTTTTATCGGTACTTATGTTTGTACTTGATATTGAGACTTCCACGTTCTTCGAATCTTTCAAAATCACGGATTCAATAGTTAACTTATAAGCATGCATGGTGATTTTATTCGTAGATGTCAGTACTTCTATTGCAATGTTGACTGTGCCTTTGAAAATATTATCTTTCATGTTCGGCTTCAATGTCAGATTATAGTTTTTAGGGAGGATGTTGTTAGGAAGTCTGTAGTAATTTGCATTCTAAAAATCAAGATTAAAATTTGAAACATACAAAACTATTCATGAAACAAATAGACAAAATACGTAGCTATGGATTCATTTTGTTAAAATGGAAAATAAGTTGTAATCATCGAGATGTTGTAATCAAGTATTTACGCCTGAATCTGACATTTTTTATCAACTATCTGTTTCGATGCATTATCACTTTCGCATGATCACCATATCACCTTGTCCGTCAGCAATAATCATAATTTATCGTAAGAGAACAACAACACTTAAACAAAACTTTGTTTTAGAAAATAAAGTCTTGTTAATTTGAATTAGAATAACTTAGAGTCGTGATAGGGGTCTCGAAGCGTAATTACGTGCTTTTTTTATGTTTGAGAGATTACTGGTGGCCCGGAGGCCTTTCCAGTTTTACCAAGGCAGGTGGGCGAGCAAGGGCTCAACTAGGATGGGTGTGATTCACTAACAGCTACCCGAGCGCCTCCAAAGGAAACCTAACAACGCAAGAGTAGCTGCATCGCGAATGAATCTACTACCGGATCAGAATCGCGACCCTTTGAGAAGATCCGGTGAGAAACTCAGCGGGCTGATGTTTAGGTTAGGTTGCACGTCGAACTCTTTGCCGAGTTCGACGAGTACGGTTACCGGGGTCCTTACTCCTGGTGTTAGAGCTAAAGGCGTCTAATGCAAGGGTTATTGGATGGATTCATAAGGACGTGTCTAGGGCGTCAACGGTGACTGGCTCCTGCGTGATCACGATTCGGGGAGTAGTCAGCGACGGCAACGATAAGGCGATTATTATGAGCCTTATCGCAGTACCGTTCCGATGCTGACTTTATGTGTTTCCGGATTGATTAGAGGCTCAGGTCGTTGTGTAAGTCAACGTTCCTCGCGGGCTTGTAGGGATTGAAGGGCGTCTACGTGTGTGCAGACCGCGTGAGCGAACACCACACTCGCGTAAGTCATGACGGGTCGTGCTGGTTTAATAAAGCGAAGTGTTTTACCTATTTACCTGTTTATATTGCCAATGGCTATTGCCACTTATTGTTATGTAATATAGCAGAAAACGTAAAAGTAGGTAGATTAATGATTTGGCCATTATTTTAAGTATTTTTTGTATTATAAGATATTTTGTCATTATAATTGTTGCTGAAAAATCCCATTATAATTCATTTAGACCTTCAAGAAATAAGTAAACATTCCACGCTAAAAACTAATGTAGGACTTCTTATGTGCGGAAAACGCTCATACGAGACATAAGCGGGTATATCCAGGACATGCAATTTTGCATTTGTGATGACAAAATACACCTTTTTAACAAGCCTTTTATAATAATGGCCAAATCAATAAGTGCCAATAACTATTGCCAATATACTGAGGTAAAACAGCACCAGCGGCCATTAAGTCAGCACGCAATTACGCTTAAAGCCCTATAATATACGCGTGCCATTCCTGCGAAAAATAATTATTTTACGAAAATATTGAGATCAACCGAAAATCGAATTCAGTTAGCATGATAAAGTAGTTATTATCTCTAACTTAAGCATAAGATTAATGAGTGATTAAGTTCTAAAGTAAGTGTGTGTGTCATTGTACACCAAAATAAATTAAATCACCTTTTTTTTACACTAATGTGCCAGTACTGGCCGTTTTTTTTAATAATAAGAAGATAGATTTATTCTATGATCATAAAATGACCAGTTTTAGAACAAATCGTTAACATATTTAAATACGAGGAAAATCATTACATAATTTTAAATGTTTCCGTAAGTTGAAACTGCATAAATTGAAATTCAAGGTTCATTTAGTCCAGTCACTTTTCAATGACAAAATTATATGTAACATTTACGTTGTACATACCTCAGTTACGTTTGACAAATTCGTTTCTTCTCTGACAGTCATGGGCACGCAGTCATCGCTTTCACATGTTTTGGACCTTTTGTCAAAAGTCGTCAAAGTAATTGCTGGGGCTATTAAGGAAAACGACAAAAGCCCTAGAAGAATGATGATGTTGTTTCTAAATAAGCATTGTGAGAGTTTCGGAGTCATCTAAAAAATTAACGACTTGAAAATCAAATTGGTAAAGATTCTGCTTTGTTGGTATTGTTACGCCGGTAAGAGTAACGCCACCTATCGCCGAATAGTCGAATAAATATCGAAGGATCTAGTAGCACCTAGAACGCTCGAGAAGTACAACGCCATCTATTGTCAGATTGCTGAAACAATACTAGAGATGTGTGGAATATTCTCGATAATTCTAGAGATGAGGTATCGACTATAAAAGCGTTCAGCAGTCAGTCGGAACTACTCGAAGCGAAACAGCGAACGGATCATCTGAAGCGAAGCGGAAGAAGTGAATTGAGAGTTTTAAAGTGTTTATTGTGTGTTTTAAGCGTTCTAAGTGTTGAATACAGTTTTTTGTAGTTGTACTTTGGTGGAATTTTATTTATCCCGAACCCCAGCGCGTAACAGTATTATCTCTGAGTACATCTTTTAATTGTTTGCAGCAGTATTAGGGCTCTCTAATTTTGAGGCCTTTATTAGAATGCCCTAATATATCCACAAGTATACAAACATGATATGTTATGTTCCTGTTCATATTAAGTTCCTATGTTATTAACAACGTTCCCTAGAAACAAGATTCCGACTACAAGTATTCGAGATTAAACGTCACTCACTATAGAGATAATAAAAACATGAATTCCTCATGTGTAAAAATATTTAGGTATATTTTTAAAATAATTTACTAGAACAAAATTTAAAATTGACTGAGTAATATCAATATGTAGAAATTAATAGAAAAAAAAAATATAAGTCATTCTAAGCTGAACCTATTGAAAATATAATAGTAAATATGTATTATGTGTTTTATGTGAGTGAAATAAAATGTAGGATGACGAATTCGATTATTTGCTTCTGTTTAGGTTTAATTACTTTTCTTCTCTTACAGTTCTTTTTTTTTGTTAAGTTTGGAATAAGTATGTTTGTCAATTAGAAGCATTTAAGAATTAATGTACATACAAATCATTAGGAATCTAATTACATTACCCGGAAAGTAAAAAAAACCACAAAACGATTTCACCGACCTTACACTCCCCCTCTCCTTTCACTTTTGGAAACTTTCAAATTGTATCACGAAAAAATTATAATAATGCGAATAGGCTGTAAGTAATCACTTCACGTTTTAATTTTAACTAGCTTAATGGTAAGCTAGTTTTAGTTTTTAGTGAGCTGTTATGTTCGTGTATGACCACCGCCTTGCGTATTGTATCAACAACTAAAGACTAAGCGTTTGTATTACGATAACAATATTACGACATTTTAGTTTCACTCCGAATCCAGATCGTGAACTGATGAAAATAGAATAATAGATTAAGAAACATCAACACACAGAGCAACATAACGGAAATATTGCTATTCGTCAACCAATTTTTACGATTTTTTTTTTATTAAAAGTTAGCTTATTTAAAAACGTTGTAAGTTTGTACTACTTTTTACATTTAAGCGTTAGAGTACAATTGAAAAACTACATTTTTCAGTAGCCATAGCGCTTAATTCAAAATTGTTGTTGGATTTAATAATAATATCTAATATCGGAACTTCACTTATTCACATAAAATTTGTTTCGACTGTCTACAAGCTACTAGGTAGGTACTACAAGCTTGTCTTTTGTATATTGATTTAAAAAAACTTATTTTATATACTCTTTAATATTCATTAGCAGGCTCTGAGTCTGTGACAGTAGCGACTTACTATCAGGTGGGTCGCACACTCATCTATCATCGACGACTGTAATAATGAAGTTTGACTTTTACTAACTTATTTACGCTACGAAGTATTGTTTTTCGTTTGTACCTGTATTAACACGACTTGCATTATATTAATGGAAACAATGTATTCAGCCATTTGAAATCGAAGAGAATAAATAATCTTGGCCTAATGCCGGTGTTCAAATCGCGCAGACAGACATCAATTTTTCTTTCAATTAAATATTTACTTAGCACATAATAACACCGTGTAGTAAAGAAAGCTAAATTTGCTATCCACTCGGAGTTGTACCATCCTGCCTATTTCTGCCGAGAAACAGTTACGTATTCCAGTTTGAAGGATGCAATAGCCTACATAAAACTTTACAATTAATGCTTCAAACTTATGTCGCAAGGCCGTTGGCGACATTCTGTGATGTCTATCGATTCCAATTATATTGGAGGCCGAGAACATCTAGAACAGTGTTTCCCAACCTTTTTTGTGCAATGCCCCACTGTAACATTTCTAAATTTTTTATGCCCTCCGTATATAATTTGAAATATTAAAACAAAATTTATTTGTTCACTTAAGAAACATAAATGATAGGTTTTGGAAGAGATCACTATGAAATTGTTATCAGAACACAGTAAGTAATATTTCAAAAAATATAATAAAAATCTGAAATTCAGAATAATTTTAATACAGATTGTCCATATTAATTTAGTGCAAATGCCCCCCTTAATTATTAAATTGCCCCCTTGTGGGGCGTGGGCCCCACGTTGAGAAACACCGATCTAGAGCGATCTCTGTACACAGAGTTCTATTTTGTTAGTTTTTGTTCTGTTAGTTTTGTTGTAGACTATTGTTGTGCTCGATCGTTGTATAAATAAATAAAAAATGAACTGGTTTATTGAGCTTTTTCATAGACATTTAACTGTAGTGAATAGGCTTACAAGTACGCGTATAATTAAAATTATTTTTATGGTTTTATGTCGTGATTTTTATGTCATTATATTATCTTCGAAATTTCAAATACTTTACCTTTTTCGTGATCAAGAACGACGGTCAGTTGTTAAATAAATTAAACCGTAAACTAATTAAATGTAGTAACTATGTCTACGACTGGCGAAAAACAAAGAAAACACTAATTTTTCATATGAACTGTGATTGGTGCGTAGACTAAGTTATTAATCAGAATGCTACCTGTCGACAAAATATTCTGATTTCCCGACAAGTTCTCTTATTAGTAATTCTACTAAAAATGACAGTGAAATTTAACTATACTTATCATATAGACCCATCCGGAGAAGTAGCATTTAGATGCATAATTTAATATATTATTAGATTAATCCGCATAATAAAAAAAAAATTACAAATTTCAATGATTTACACATCCTTTATTCAACTTTAAATAGCTTAACATTATTAATAAATAACTAAACCTAGAATAAATTAAAATTACTACTAAAAGATTATATCGCTTTCTAAGCTCAGTTTTTTATTATTATTTAAATAATAACCGAAATAATTAATTCAGCAAACGGCAACTTCATATTTTATTATGTAAAATGCAAAATTTATATAAACCATAACTATATGAGTGGTTAACATATTACATCATGTTTATATTTTAACATTAGAAGAAAAAAAATTTACAAATAGAAATTCGATTAATATAATATTTCAGGCTGTATTCCGATAATAAGTTAGATTTATAAGATTTAACATCAAAGCCAAACAATCAATCAGGTTTTTTTTTTTATTCATAAAGATATCTTGAAATCTCGACATGCAAAAGAATATCAAATTCAAATTAGAATTCGCTTTCATCGGTACTATCTGTTATTTAAACAAAATCACAAATTCCAGAAATGAACGTTGAGAAATGATCTATTGAACAAAAAAATATTTTGAATACATTAAATTAGAGATCGAATTGGTCTGCCTAAATGTTGTATGTGTTTTCTTAGAATCTACGTCGTACGTAGATTTAATTAATGACTTAGAGAAGGATATTCATTTCATTATATAGCAATGGTAATCTAGTTAATATAAGCTCCATATTCCATACCGCTGTCGTGATAGCCGTAATGAACGTTCGCTATTTCTGAATCTCGACCTTTCACGGAATTATGATTTTTGAAAGCGTTTATTAAAATGAGGAAAAGCGCTAGTTTTCCGACCATTAAGGATTTGAATAGCATGAATTTAAGCATACTCAGGAATAAAGGCACAATTGCGGACTGTAGAACGAACGGCATGATGAATAAAGGTAGAATCTTCTGCATAAGTTTCTGTTTTTTGCCCCGTCCTGAAATTGGAAATAAATTAAAAAAATTACTCAAACAATATTACTTTAGTATGTAAATACTCTCGTCTCGAATATATGAAAAGAAACAAAATAATAATTCAACAGAAACATGAAACATATTACGCAATAAAAAAATACAGTTAAGAAAGTCAGTTGTAAAGAAACGCTTTAGTCCTTCGTGATCTTTGTATCATAACAACAACAAAAACATTATATTAGACAATTCCACCAATTCAATCCATTCTATCAGACTGCAATTAAAAATGTTAAAACGCATCTAGTAGGTATGCCGTAATTAGAAGACAATTAATTCACCATCATCCAGATCCGAGGGATACAACATTGAGCAACATGAGAACTGTTAGTTGTTTTCCTTTTATCTCGGAAGATATTCGTGATGACCTGTTACATAATTCATTCGCGTTTCCGTTAGACTGAGGTAAATACCGCTAAACGTGGATACGTACTACTCCTAATAGTTACACAACTTTCTTGTGCCGATAACTGTTTGTCAATGCTCTGATTGTCGTCTCAATTACACAGTTTCTACTCTTTGAAATAGACCTTTTGAATAAGTTTATATAGTAAGTGTGGTGTATATGTGGACTTATCATTCACTACAGATAAAACAATTGGTACCTTTACTTTCAGTACATATTATTTATTTCAGTATTTTTTTTATTAGTCTGGTCCGCTAAACGTGAGCTAGCGTAAGACGTGACTACCGGAGATTATTTTGCAGCAACAACAGATTGAAATAAAGTTTCTACAGTGACAATACGCCCTACCACTACTGTAAGGATTAGTAGTAATCCCATAATTGAGGAGTTAGGAAAATGAAACGAAGATACCACCACTGAGGCATTGTGGAGAAGAAGAACCAGTTTTGAATGATGTCAAGATCGATATAGTATATTCAAATCGAATTTGAGCACGGGGTTGTCATTTTACAAGTATGATAGTTTCCGTAATTAAAAGGCTAAGCCTTCAATAATAACACACATAGAACAAAATGAAAACTTATAATATACTAATATATGAAATACACAAAAAACTAAAATTGTAAGCAAATTGAAAGAAAATTGATCAACAAATTACTACCTATACTACACGTTGGAGCCACAAAGTCCCCGATATATCCTCGATTACCAAAGTACAAAATACAAAACTACTCTTTTCATTAACTCAGACGATCCCAGACCCACTTCATAATAAAGCCACCACTGTATGAATCTCGTTCCTTTCCCTGAACTGTTAAGTTTTGATCTCAGTGGCAATGGAACAATAGTACATTGTGCACCAAGGGAGAAAAGTTTGACATTTACTCCCGCATGTTTGCCAATTTTAATGAGATGTCCTACTTTTTTCCCGCGGTGCACATACTAACCAGGCCGAAAGTTCGACATTGTAAAAAACTTAGCACCCGTGGAGTACCGAGCCGGACTCCAGGGTCGAAGCCCTGGTGGGACCCAGGGGTGAAGCTCTGGCTGGGGTAGGGGGGCGGAGCCCCCCACTCATAAATAGTACATTGTGCACCAAGGGAGAAAAGTTGGACATTTCCTCCCGCGTGTAAAATTGCCAACACGCTGGAGGAAATGTCCAAATTTTCTCCCGCGGTGCACATACTATTTTTTCTCCTACCAGGCCGAAAGTTCGTGGAGTACCGAGCCGGGGTCCAAGAGCGAAGCCCTGGCCGGCGGCAGGGGGGTCGGAGCCCCCCCCCCCCCNAAATAGTACATTGTGCACCAAGGGAGAAAAGTTGGACATTTCCTCCCGCGTGTAAAATTGCCAACACGCTGGAGGAAATGTCCAAATTTTCTCCCGCGGTGCACATACTATTTTTTCTCCTACCAGGCCGAAAGTTCGTGGAGTACCGAGCCGGGGTCCAAGAGCGAAGCCCTGGCCGGCGGCAGGGGGGTCGGAGCCCCCCCCCCCCCGTACTCATAAAAAACTCATAAAAAATCTAACCTTTTTTTAATTTTTCAATAAACTACTACTAATTGAATAAGAACTCATCTTTGTTTACTACTTCACTATTAAATTTTATTGCCTTTTGTTTATTTCACTTTTACACTAACCCTAATATTGCAAATTACCGGAGCACAACAATGGCGGAAAATTTTAGGTGCGTGAGAGCAGACGTAGACACTGATGCGCATGCGCACTTGTCAGTACCCAGGGAGAAAATGTTAAACTTTCTTCCCTGTACAGCGGGATGAAAACCGAACTTTCGACGTAGGTAGAAGAAAAAATATTATATTTGTATTATATCAGGTTAACTTTAATAACAGTTTCCGGCATTCCGGACATGGAACCGGATTCAGACCCAGGTGTCTGATGGCTGCGCGGCAGAAATAGGCACGGCACTCCTAATCCGTAGGGATTCAAAATATGTACAATGAATACTATTATCAATAATATTAAAATAACAAATCATTTTTGAGATCAATGTTTATTAAATCTCTAGAATGTGACTCTAGAGTGTGACTGTGATGAAAATATGCAACTTAAGAAACTATTTCAAATAAACGCCGAATTTTGTATTGGATTGTGTTTTCATCGGTTTGCTTCTATAAAAATACACATACTGTACCAGAAATTGCATAATAGAAAATCGTATTCGTCCGAAGTCGTAAAAATAAATTTCTTCAACGGAATTTAATAATTTTATATAATTTGATGGGGTCAATGTTTTTGAATTGTTTCAGTTACGTACGCGAAACGAAAGTAAAGTCGTAATTCGCAATTTGCGAATTTATACCGGACACAAACTAGAACACTTTCGAAATTGCAATTTCGACGCGCGTTTATAAAAAAAACTAAAAGATAATTACTTTGCAGTGAAATTATCGGCGGTTTTCTACTATTCGTTAAGAAATTTGAAATATTATAGATGGAAAGATAAGCTCAAGATACGTGTGGTGTTAAGCGGTCACCAGATTAGAGATAAAAATATAAATTTCGACATCTAACCTAACAAAATGTAGTTGAATATTTGTATTAAGTCCTATTATATACATACCTACTATATTTTTATATTTTCAGAATTTCTGTAAATGAAACGGTCGTCTGGAAGAGATCACTTTTAGCGATAAGACTGCCTATTGTACAAATGTATCTGCTTTTTGACTGCTGTTAGAATGTAAATTGTGTTTTGGTGTGCAATTAAGTGTATTCTCTCTTATATACATTTTTTATTATTATTTTCATACAATAAAATCACTAGTAAAGACAGGCACTATCGCTGGCACTATCATTGAAAACTTTTGGAACCACCGGCGCGCTATTTATAGTACGTACCATGACAGAAACTTTCCTCGAACAAAGTATAAACTCAGTTGCATAAATTTATAAGGTCCCGCGAACGCTGAGCGAATAAAAACAAAGAAACACTGACTTTAGACTTTAGAGCGAGAGAGAGTACGATTTTTTACACACAAAGACGTAATTAAAATATAAAATCGGTCAGAAGAAGGCGAGTAAAATAGTCGATAGGTCTTATTGCTTAAAGCGATCTCTTCTAGACAACCTTTTTCATCTAGAGAAATTCAGAAAATGATACGGCAGGTACGTTGCGGTGTAGTACTATTTTAACAAAACTCGGAGTGATCTATCAAAATAAACAAAAATTTAATTTAGATTAATATTAATCATAATAGATAATCTCGTTCAATTTTACTTGTCAAAATTAATTAGTTATTTCATCTTCAGCTTAATGAAAGTTAAATTTGTTTACCCACGCTACTCGTTTAATCCAAAACATATTAATATGGCTGGTAAATGTAAATTGATATGAGTTTAGTAAGTCGCTAAAATCTTAGCATACAAATAATATAAGAGTTATAATACCGACCTTCCTGATCACCCTTATCAGTTTCGATTTCGAGGGACATGACACTGCTCGTGTTCTTGCCTAGGGGAATCTTCACGGACACTCCTTCGAACAATTCAACTTTTTTCGTTTCGACTTCATGCTGGTGGACCGTTTGAGGTTCAGGTACTGTAGCCGAACACAACACTATAAAAAATCCGAGGATGCAGAGGATGCGCTGCGCGTGCGGTGTCGACATTCTGCGTGATGGCCTGCCAGTGAAACAGAAACCGTGTGCCCCTCTCGTTACAAACTGGACCGGCCAATGCGACTAGCAACATGCAGAGCTGTGGCAGGGGTAAAGACTTGTTTTCATTACGACCAATGCCACAAAATATTTTTATATAATCCATTTCGCAATACTTATAATTTTAACGATGGTCAATTAAATTAATCATCGATTAGAGAGTTTACTTTTTCTCTAGTTTTGTTTTGTAAAAATATCTACTCGTGATACCCTAGTATTACGTATTACCTTGTATATCATGTGGAGACTGACGATTTAATCATATGTATTGTTATATTTACCGAAAAAAAAAAGAAACTTTGACGGTACCGAATTACGATTGGTATGATCTTAATAAATAGAATGTTACAGTTACGAACAGAGTTCAACTTTTTTAAATTTATTATTCACTTTATATTTTATTCTAATAGATTTACATTTTCCATTTTTCACAAGAAAATTTAGAGTTGAATTTCACCTTTTTTTCTTTGTGTTAGGGCTTTACTGCATCCATACGGCAAGGGCAAAACAAAAACTTTTGGGAGCCTCTAAATCTTATCTCATTGAAAAGAATAAGTATACAAGTTCTTTCTCTTTCTAACTAGCCTTACAACATTGCGATTAAGAAACAGATAGACCTACACCGCTCGTAATGTCACTTAAACTTAATAATTCTGCAATTATAAATTTTGTATTATATGTAATACAAAAACAGTGATAGTGAAAGTTAATTTGAAATATTTGGTTTTGCGTTATTATGAACATTGCGTAACAACATAGCCTATGTTATGTTATTTATTACAATAATAATCGGTAATTTATTCAAATTTCGCCGTTATAAATATTCAATTAGAAGCTTACGATTTTCTAATACCTGTTAAACCCGTTAATAACTGGTTAGAAACTGCAACTGGTTACTTAGTTTCGCTATCCTCGAATCACAATATCTTATCAGAAATTCAGTTTTAATGGGCACTAAGCATTGCAACACAATTAGATTTGAACAACATGTATGAAGCGTTTGAGGGGTATGTCACCGGTTGTGCAGTGCACAATCCTGTGTGCTTAGTGCGAGTTTTTTAACGTTCTCGATAGCGTAAAAGTTAACTCAAATTTGTATGCAGTTGGAACAGCGCCCCTAACACTGCATACATATTATGTACGTGCCAATCAACAAAGTTAAAGAGCGCTATCTGATTGATTCATCAACGCAGGCTACAAGAACGAAATTTTGGGAGTTGATACTTGCTATACCGGAAACTATATTGTCAAATTAAGAAATGCGAAATTGTCCTATACCAATTTCTGGTTAGAAAAAAGTAGACGTATGTACCTATATTTGTGATTTTTTGATTTTTTTATTTGGAGACGGATATAGGTACATTTGTATATTTCTCCTCGATGCGTTCCTAACACATTCTTTTCATGATCATGAATCTTGGTACAGCTGTGGTCGGTATTCCAGGAAAGGTTTCTCTCATAGTACCATTCACGTAGTAATAGAGGTTAAAGTATGGAATTGCCGTTTTTCTGTAATAGGTACTTCGAATTGTCATAGAACCTTCATGGTCTGAGATTTTTGAGTGAAACTTTTTACAAATGGTACCTGTAAGGTTCTTCTTTTAAAAAATGTGCAACGTTCGATTATCGACTTTCAGTTGTTTTTTTAATCAGCTGAGACCAGAAAAATTTATACTTCGAAAATTCAAGTGTTTTTTTTTATTGCCCTTGTAAACAGAGAAGTATACGGCCTGATGGTGAGTGGCTTCCGTCGCCCATGAACTTCAGCAATGCCAAGGGCAGAGCCAAGCCTCTGTCTACTGTTGAGTACTCTCCACAAGCCTCGTTTGAAGAAGGACAAGTCATAGTGATTTTTGGATACGAGTTCCGACGCGGAGCAAACGTTTCAGAAACAGCTCGCAATATCAATGTTGCGTTTGGAGAGGGGACTGCTAATGAACGCATCATGCGATTTTCGTTTAAGCGCTTTCGTGATGAAAATTTTGATTTGAAGAACGAACCACGTGAAAGGCCGCTCACACATGTGAATAACAATGAATTGAAAGAGATGACGGAAGATGATCCCAACCAAACTACCCAGGAATTAGCGGCATGGCTTAACGTTACCTTACCAACAATATTGACTCATTTGCGTCAAATCAATAAAGTAAAAAAATATGAAAAATGGGTTCCTCATGATTTGACTGATCTGCAGAAAGAAGCGCGTGTTGAAACTTGGCCTTGTGTTGCCTTGTTGAATCTATACAGAAATGAAGGAATATTGGATCGAATTGTGACATGTTATGAAAAATGGATTCTTTACGATAGCCGTAAGCGAAAAATGCTATGGCCGACCCCAGGTCAAACGCCGCAACAATGCACTAAAGCAAAGCTTATCAATAAAAAGGTAATAGTAATTGTTTGGTGGTCTCAGTATGATGTTATTTATTTTAGCTTTCTTCGATCTGGTCAAGAAATAACGGCAGATGTCTACTGTGCCGAACTCCGAACAATGATAGCAAAACTTGTAGTGAAACAGCTCCGACTCATGAATCGATCTTCACCATTATTGCTCCATGATAGCGCGAGACCTCATACAGCATGAGAAACCATTTTAACTCTACAAGAACTGCAATTAGAAACCATTCGTCTCCCACCGTATTCGCCAGACCTTGCTCCAACGGTCTACCATTTGTTCGTGATTTGGACAATTTTCTACGTGATAAAAAGTTTTCTTCCCAGGAGGCAGTACAAAATGTTTTCACCCAGTTTGTAAAATCTAGATCACCAGAGTTCTATCGCAAAGGCATAAATGACCTTCCTATTAGATGGCAGTAGTGTATAGATAATAATGGTAGATATTTTGATCAAATAAATATGTATATCAAATGAAAAAAAAAACAAATTTCAATTTTTCAGTACAAATCAGCAATTTCATACTTTAACCCCTAATACAATGTCAGTATTTTTCGTACAATTAACATTAGTTTCAACGGAGCGTGATCGGTTTCCACCAGTTATTAATTAAAACGAGTGGAATAGTGAATGCATCACTTTTTATGTGTTATATTTTACACATAAATCGTTAAAATGGTTATGGTCTCTAATTACATTAAATTTATAATACACACAACAAAGAAAGTTAACATTTGAATTGTGTTTTAAGCACAGTATCTTGTTCGCGTTATTCAACACTTTTTGCTCATTTCATACACCAACGTGTCGAACAATTTCAGCTAAATTAATTAAATTCTTCAGAAGTTGTAGCGCCGTAACAATTTTATTACTTTCAGTCCATTTGATGATTCATCGTTTCCTTAGAGTTTTGATTGTTCATGATCATTGCCAAATTTTTTAAACATTTAATATAAATATGAAGTACATTAAACCAAAAATTTTGAACGATGATCTCTTTTTTGTGTGTGTCGTCACGTATTATTTACGTAACTCCGTAAATTTCTCTCTAGTATGTACATAAGTCACTTTTGGAAAACGCGTAAATTTGGTCTTTTTTCACGCAATATGGATGACGATGCGATGATGATGACGTATCCCGTTCCCTATTTTACCATCAAGCAACAAAACCCACACAATATTGTAACAAACTTGGTTGATTTATTTCTTAAATCTAAATATATGAGTTTCAAAGGGCGGAACTCCTACCTACCTAATAAAAAAACGTATGTGGTGCCTGGGGAAAGCTTTCAAAGGATCACATCCCACACGCTTGTATGCATTTGATTATTTTTTCGCATCTCTAAACAATGCATGAAGTGCCATCCCTAATAACTTTGAGAAACTAGTGTATAGCGTTTCAAATAATACTTTCTAAACATCATTATATGTAGCGGCATTAGTCTCATAATAAAATTGATCTGATACACGAACCAACCGAGGATGAAATTATAAGAATTCCGTTTTAATCATATGACTACGGAACCCTTCAAAAGCCACTGAAATTAAATAATCTCGTATATGAGTCGTCTATTATCAAAGGTGGCAATCTGTGCATTTGGACCAAAAAAAATTATTGATATGTCAATACAGATTGATTTGAATATAATCGTCTCCTTCAAAGAATACGGTTCAAAACCTGCATTAAATAAAGGTTAATAGTTAACCTGTTATTTATCTAAGATGTCGTTCCGAAGAGTTTTGTGACTGCCAATGGAATACAAAGTCAATAATTCGTTTTTCTGATTTACCAATCATTGTTCAAAAGTCAGATNATAATCGTCTCCTTCAAAGAATACGGTTCAAAACCTGCATTAAATAAAGGTTAATAGTTAACCTGTTATTTATCTAAGATGTCGTTCCGAAGAGTTTTGTGACTGCCAATGGAATACAAAGTCAATAATTCGTTTTTCTGATTTACCAATCATTGTTCAAAAGTCAGATTGCCGGCTTTGATAATAGTCGACTCATATATTAAACACGCAAAAACTGACCGGTATGCGAATGTGAAAGCGCGTTAATAATTGCGCGGCTTATCGTGTCCAATGTGGAATTTATAAGAATTTAATGTCCTGTGAACGTATTTTCTACGATTTTTTTCATGTACAATGTTACGTTTCGTTTATTGAAACCGGTTCTATATTTTTTTTATTTACCGCCAAAACTTACCCAAAACGAAAATGTATATTATACATTTGAAAATCTTAGTATCACTTTCATGGTTTCAAATTTGGTAGGTCCACAACACTGTTTAATGATAAGGTTAAGGTAATACGAAGCATTCCTAAGTACTAAGCCACAAAAAGTTTCTACTTTTACATAATTTTACATATTATATTATATGAAACTAAATCTGTTTGTGTACAACATATTACGGAGGTTGGCGAAAATAAATATATCCATTGATTATTCTTTTAACCTGTCTTCATTTTCGATTCCCAATTGAAAATCGGGGTCATCGATATTTATGCTTAATTTAGCGAATGAAAACTGCTGTCGGCCTTAAGTAAGCTAGTGCATTGTTCCCTTCCCTTAGTATTTATTCCCTTCGATAGCCCAAAGGCTAAACAACACGATACAGCTTTCATAATTTTAATTTTCTTTCAGACAGAATAAATAAACATTACAGAAATACCTGTTGTATTTGGCTAGGGACATTTACTAATTTAATTATATGAGACTAGTTGGTTAGTGCTAGTATTATGAGAGAGAAAATAAAATTTGTTTCATAAATGCATTTTATTACATAACATTTAAATATACGTCGTCTAGCTTTCACGAATCGAACAGTTCGCGACAGGCAGACGAAGTCGCTTCCATAAATCCTAATAAAATTAAAAATAAATAACTTTTACCACAAACGATAATTTTCACTACACTACAATATTCAATCATTAGTGTTACAAAGTTTGGTGTCTGATCAATCTAATAATGAGGTAGAATTTTAACCAGCACTAAAATACAAAGGCATGTTAAAATCTATATAAATCTCAAAAATTTTCAATTAAAGACAACAAATGCTAATAGCTTATTAAACTACATACCCAACATTCGTGACCTAAATTCCTAGACAGAACTCATAAAACTTATAAAATAGGCATACACGCGCTATGAATCAAAACCATATCTAATGAATTACGTGATCTGAAACTTATTGCATTTTCGAAGTCAAATATTTTATTCGGGAATAGTAGCTTCGTTGTCGGATCTGGCCCAGGGCGATAGAAGAGGACCGCTGGCGGGCCATGGGGCAGGTACGGCTGGAGCAGGGAGGAACTCAGCACGAGGGTGCAGCACGAGAGGTGACGGTGCTGTTGTGGCCGCAAATAATCTGGTAACCGCCTGTAAAAAAGTAATGGAGTAGTGAAAACGTATTATAATACAGGTACCCGTTCACAAGTCGTTGAATCGTGTTTTGTTGAACCTTCAAACCCACTGAGACACTTACGAATGAAAATATAAAAAAACACGAATCAATCATCCTCACTCAAGGTCTTGTCACCCGTAAAAGGATATTCTTCCTTTAACGCTGAAATTGGTTCTTACCATTAAGTGAATAATCACAATTTCTATCAGATGGCTATCACTTTCAAATAATGTTTAAAAAAAATTGTTTTATCATTACGTCATATCAAACATAGCGAAGCCAGAAAGGTTACTTCTTCATTCACTAACTAGTTTTGGGTTAAAATTATCCTTCCTATAATCAATAATCCTTTCACCTACAACATTTTTACTTACATATTTTTACCTACAATATTTTTTCAGACATTCTGTTTTTGATCTGTAATCTTTAGCGCGACTGTGAAAAATGTTCGGAGTTCAATTGAGGAAAGTCATGCTACTTTATATTCCATGAGGTCTAACAATAGTCAAAATAATTTTTACATAACAAACGACATTTCAATGGGCCGTCGCTTGACAATAACGTTTTGCAATAGAAAATGTTTGTATTGATAAATAAAAATAAAAGTTGAATTGCGCAACAATAGCTAACTTTGATAGTAAAATTCCCATTACACCGAGGTATCTACATGTAATAAACTATCGATAATAACTGTTTTTATGAGCGGTTATTAATTTGATTTCATTTTCTACACACAGCTAGCTACACATGGGAGAATATCGTGAGAAAGTTTTCTAAAAAAAAAGCTCAAGACCATACATACGTATAAATGGTATTATTACAGTCAACATTCTAACTGTACAATTGAGTAAACTGTAATAACATTTTCCACGAGTGATATGTATATTAAATTGCTTGTCAGGCTTATTTCTCGTAAGTATTTTCTATCATATTAAATGGAAGATTTTGCGAACTGTTTAGTTAGTCGCCATTAAATTTCATTCACTAAAATCATATTTAAATATTTATGCGATAAAGAAATCTATTTGTTTTTACCATCGATGCTCACATCTGGCAATAAATCGGTTATCGAAGCACATTGACGGTAGAACATAAATAGCTTAACCAATAACTAGCACTTTCATTGTAATTATGGCTATATTGCCCTTTACCGAACCTAAAGAGTAATGCTTCGTTGTTACAATAGGCAGAAAGTTGTCCGGGAGGTGTACGGACTCGCGATATAAGAAAGATTGATAGTAATATCAGGAGGGGAAACCAAGGGGAAATATTATCATGTGATGGATCGGCTGCTAGACTATTGGCGGAGTCTATAGACATCACAACGTGAATAACACCACCCACATTAAGATAAGAGGATGAATGAAGTTTCATTTGTATATGGCTGTCCCACCGCTCAGACTTGAATGAATAATTAACGCAGGATAGAGGTAGCCCGTACAAGTTTACAATACATCCCACCACGAGCATATTCCGGTATATATATTGGTGATCACAATATGCCGGTATTATATTTAGAAAACGCTGCTATCCATTCTACCTTAATCGCCCGTTATGATCTCCACGAGAATACTTGGGGTTGTGTTATTCTAGACTGACACCATACAGCCGGAACACTTACCTGGCTTACAGACACAATGAGCAGTACAACTCCAATGGCGAGGTTCTTAACAGATATTACGGCTAGCGCCATCAAGAGTGTTGAGATCACTCCCAGTGTGAACATGACTGGGAGGAATATGAAGGACAACCGCTTGAGGGCATTGTGACCGAAAGTACGACCGACGTCTACATCTGTAATAAAAAAAAAACATATAATTATTTTCTTTTTTTCTTTAATTTTCACGAATCATGTACGCATGTTAAAAGGCAGTTCCACCAATCGTTGACATGATTGAGAGAGAGATTAGTTTATAGACACCAGAAACACTAAAGTATTGGATATATCGGATTAAGAACTTTAAGAAATTAATATACTATACACATTAAACTTCTTATGAAACTGAAATCAATATTTGTGTGTTTGTTTGTTCGTGGTAATCGTTCGCACATGGTTTATTCAATTAAAAACGAAACACAATATTTAATAAGAAAATAACGATTTATACGTTCCTTTTTATTCTGATCCGGAAATTAGGCCAAAGTAATAAAATTTATTCTGTTGTTATCAGTCCTTGATCCGTGTGCGAATTTTAAATTTTGGTGAAGATTGTGATACACAGTGATGTAACGCTGATTTTAACAATTAAACAATTCAACAATTATTAGGTAATTAAAAACCACGCTGTTATCAAGAAGCGAGTTAAAGCATGGCGATCTATTGATTTGTGTATTTTTGATGCCTTTTGCTCTAAACGTAATTAAAATCAGCTGAGACACATAACTATATAGGGTGTGATAAACACAAGCTCTCTCCCAGCTATTTGTGCCTTAAATTGTGGAGTCTTTAAGTTTGAAATTGCTAAAATAATAGGAATTTTCTTAGTTAAATTCATATTGTTTTCACTTTACTGTTCTAGTTAGCTATTTGGAATTTGAAAACAGTTTTCTTACAGTCGAAACTGTTAATTCTATCGTTATTTACAATAAACACCGTGAGTGTTACCATCAATATGAGATTTATTTGATACGCCATTTTCGAAATCCCATAGCCTTATGGTAAAAGTATCGAGCGATCATACCGATGTTCAAATCCCGCAAACAGGTACGTACCATTTTCTCTAATGGAATACGTATTCGACATATCTTCACGAATCACTTCAACAGTAAACTTTTTTACTGGTGGTAGGACCTCTTGTGAGTCCGCACGGGTAGGTACCACCACCACCCTGCCTATTTCTGTCGTGAAGCAGTAATGCGTTTCGGTTTGAAGGGCGGGGCAGCCGTTGTAACTATACTTGAGACCTTAGAACTTATATCTCAAGGTGGGTGGCGCATTTACGTTGTAGATGTCACCCCCGATTACTCTCTTTAGTCAATCCATACCCTGGGCCAGGAAGGTCAAGTACCTGGGCGTTACCCTGGATGCATCGATGACATTCCGCCCGCATATAAAATCAGTCCGTGACCGTGCCGCGTTTATTCTCGGTAGACTCTACCCCATGATCTGTAAGCGGAGTAAAATGTCCCTTCGGAACAAGGTGACACTTTACAAAACTNAAAAAAAAAAAAAAAAAAAAAAAAAAAGACATGATTGAGAGAGAGATTACTTTATAGACACCAGAAACACTAAAGTATTGGATATATCGGATTAAGAACTTTAAGAAATTAATATACTATACACATTAAACTTCTTATGAAACTGAAATGAATATTTGTGTGTTTGTTTGTTGGTGATAATCGTTTGCACATGGTTTATTCAATTAAAAACGAAACACAATAATAAGAAAATAACTATTTATAAGTTTTTTTTTGGTCCGGAAATTCATCATCATCATAATCGGTTGCTCTTGGCAGAGCAGTCGTGGTCATGTGGAATTCTTGCTCATTAAAGCCTTGACAGATGTTTTCCACAGCTTGCGAACCGAGGCCCGGCGCACACACTCGTTAAGTGGGGTTTCAGTAAGGTCTTTCACCTGATCAGTTCAACGCATGGGGATTCGTCTACGAGACCTCTTACCATTGATCCTACCCTGAACAACAAGTTTCTCGATAGACTCTGCTGGCCGACGCCATACGTGTCCAAAATATCGAAGAATATGTCCCGAAATTAGGCCAAGATAATAAAATTTATTGTGTTGTTATCAGTATTTCATCTGTGTGCGAATTTTAAATTTTGGTGAAAATTGTGATACACGGTGATGTAACAATGATTTCAACAATTAGGCAATTCAACAACTATTAATTAAAAACACGATGTTATCAAGAAGCGAGTTAAAGCATAGCAATCAAGCATAGCAAATTGATTTGTGTATTTTAGATGCCTTTTGCTCTGAACGTAATTAAAATCAGCTGAGATACATAACTATATAGGGTGTGATAAGCACAAGCTCTCTGCCAGCTATTTGTGCCTTAAATTGTGGAGTTTTTAAGTTTGAAATTGCTAAAACAATAGGAATTTTCTTAGTTAAATTCATATTGTTTTCACTTTACTGTTCTAGTTAGCTATTTGGAATTTGAAAACAGTTTTCTTACAGTCGAAACTGTTAATCCTATCGTTATTTACAATAAACACCGTGAGTGTTACCATCAATATGAGATTTATTTGATACGCCATTTTCGAAATCCCATAGCCTTATGGTAAAGGTATCGAGCGATCATACCGATGTTCAAATCCCGCAAACAGGTACGTACCATTTTCTCTAATGGAATACGTATTCGACATATCTTCACGAATCACTTCAACAGTAAACTTTTTTACTGGTGGTAGGACCTCTTGTGAGTCCGCACGGGTAGGTACCACCACCCTGCCTATTTCTGTCGTGAAGCAGTAATGCGTTTCGGTTTGAAGGGCGGGGCAGCCGTTGTAACTATACTTGAGACCTTAGAACTTATATCTCAAGGTGGGTGGCGCATTTACGTTGTAGATGTCTATGGGCTCCAGTAACCACTTAACATCAGGTGGGCTGTGAGCTCGTCCACTCATCTAAGCAATAAAAAATAAATAAAGGAATACTATCGTGTAGTAAAAATAAAAACTAGAAAAGCCCTCTTCTTGCCCTCTTGTGTCAGTAGCTCGACTTAGTTTTTTCTCGCATTTAAGATAATTGGAATAACGAAGATTGGAGTCAAGTTTTATTCATAGATTAATGTTGATTTAACTTGAAGCCAGACGGCTGAAAGTTAAAAGTGTGGAAATGCCCGAGCAATACACGGAAATACTTAAAAAGGGGCACAGGTGCTCAGCTATAGTGTGGGGAGGTATTTGTTTTGAGGCATTTTCAGAAAGCTGCGTGATATTTAGAATTGGTGGGGAAGCAACAAACAGCAGAGCGATCTGTAGGCTGTAACTGACATTTTTCTGGAGTGATATATGCCACTGCAAGAAAATGCAAGCCACGCACACTGCGGCCGTAGTTATTGGCTTATGTGTATTATCTATCTATGGTTATCAGAGTTTGCGGTCGTCATGGACAAGTTGAAACAAATGCTATGGGGTGACCAGCGCACTTGTTTATAAACTCTATAAATGTCTGGAATAAGCTTGACAGGGCTAACAAGAAAAGAAATCCTGTCTAAGCTAATTTGAAAGATCTTAATAATCATTACAGGGTGAACGGGGAAATGTTGCGATGAATTCTTAAGACAGTATTATTAGGTTTATGTCAAAGAGGCTAGAGTAAATTATTAAAGTTAGTTAACGATTCTTTTAATTGGTCTTTTCGACAGTTGCATTTTTCAATTAACGAATACTAAGCTAAATCGAAATTGAAATAGATTATAGTCATAAACAAAGCTTCATATTTTTGTAAAGCGCACTATTTTTGTGTTCTCCTAAATTTATTAATTAGTGTATTTAAGTAGTAAAACATTAACATTTTCTTACAAGAAAAACCTTGTAAATAATTAAACTAGTTTGCAATTAAAAAGATCGATATACCTACGTGAGATTGTTTCGTAGAGAATTTTATGACAACTTTGTTACCTTTGCTTAGAATATCTACTAGTCCCACAGGTGAAGCACCATCATCACAATTAACAACTGCCACGAAAACGGCCAAATATGCCAAAGATAATACCGTGAATTTATTGCACATTTTGTTCAGAAAAACAAATCGATTTTTTCGATCGATGAATTGTTGTCGGTCGCTTCTTAATGACTGATGGACTCCTGGCCCGACGCCCAGGATATAAACTGTCATCCGGAAGACAATGGTCGGCGAGACCAAAAAGTCATGACGAAAAGAAAGCGCAGGACAACGTGACCGTGCGGTAAAAATGGCCGACCCCGTTATTCGACGCCGGGTAAGGACCGACATAGAATCATTAACGTGGTACATCGCTTCCCCTGTGGACAGTGTCCCAAGATCCTTATCGCGACAAATTAGCTGGAGAAAGTGATTATTAAACAGGCCATTTTTGTGTTTATAATCCAGTCGAATGCTCGTGATGATTTTCTACGGCTGATAATATGTTAAGTTGATTTTCACAAATGTTAAATACAAAAGTTAAAGTTATACTTCATTCCCAAAAAAATACTTAAATGTTAAATGGATTTCATAAAACAGGTGTCTGTCTATATATAATTGAAACAATATATCAAAAACGCGCGACACAACGCATAGTTAGTCTAATTGATTCACCTAAAGTATACTTAAAAAGTATATAGAATACTACTTTCCTTTTATTTTGTAGCATACATAATGGTAAAACCGTGCAATTCGGATCGATTTAATTGGCAGTTTTCATTTTTCATTCTACTAAACTGTTGTTTGTCATGTTATAGTAATTAGCGAAACTGCAATATGCGCGTGTGTATCGTTTAATTAAATGCTTCGGTAGTCAGTTCACGTCTCGGAGAAATTCGATCGGATTGTGTAGTCGCTGAGGCGTCAATCAATCGGACGCGTGACCGCCGCGGCATGTTCGTATGCTAATTGCATTTGACAATATAGGTCATTTCCTGTCAATGAGGAATGCCGAAAAACAATCGAAACGACATCAGTTTCTGTGCACCTAGAATATGAAGCAGCCGAGAGAAATTTTCGCGTTTTTTTTTAATACGCTTTATTAGCTTCTTCAGACGTATGTATGTTTGTAACGGAATCTTTGAAGATGATTTTGTCCCTCTTGAAAACGTCGGATTAACTCGAAATTTGGTATACTTATTAAGTGCCGATGACAATGAAATATAAAAAAAAAATTGACAAAATTTTAATTCAACTAAAAAATTAAAAATAAATAAAAAAACTGACAAAATACAAAATACTAACAACACCCCGCGCTTTTTTATTTTATTTTTAATACAAATTTATTAAAAAATATTTCCTATTTTTTATTCGGATTTCTATAAAAGCGTATTTAGTTAGTTTTTTTAAACTATTATTTATTAAAACTTTTAATTCAAATGTTCAACCAGTATGCGCTTTTCACCTAAATCACTATGCTTGAAAACCTTATGTAACATTAATTATCTCCTCGGGCAGAAGTGATTCGAATCCTTGTGGAGTTTAGATTTGCTGTATGTTTAGACTGACTTAGCTGCGCTGGACGATCAAAGCTACTTAGTGAATTCTCAATGAACTGCTCCACTATTTTATTAGACGTATTTGTAAACTTGTATAACGCGAAACCTTGTATGCAACGTGAAGTGTTTATATTTGCTGTGTGTCGATAGAAATGCACCTTATTTGTAATATGCACAACGTTTACATTTAGGACCGCTTGGATTTAGGATTTAGGCAGGTCGGCGGAGTCAGGTCCATCAGTATGCTTAAAAGTTGGAGTTTCCGTTAATCTTTATCACCTCGAAAACTGTAGCTATATGTAACGCCGGTGATAAAAAATATTAAATATAATAATAAACGCTGCGAAATTCAACGGTCCTGAACTTGGTTTTTGTTTTATGTTAAATGGACACATACGAGAAAAGTACGTACATCTAGATACCGATTTCCAAGCCTCTTTAATAAAGAAATCGACTCCGACAGGAAAACGAACTAGAGCCCGAGGTTACATTAAGCAGTCAGATTAACTAGCTACCAGACTCTTGAAGTAATCAAATAAAAATGAAAATAATTTAAGAAATATTACTTTTACGGCTCAATCTCATGTTTATTATTGTCATCAAATTATATCCGACGTATCGAATACCTCACAGTTTTCGTGTACATTTTATAGACCACCGAAGAGACTAAGCCAATACCTAAAATGCCTAAGATCTGTATAGTAAAGCATACCTTTGCAGGACCCTGATGTCTATCTCTGAGTCTATGTCTGGGCGAACTGGATGACTGCGGGGTTTGTCCTGTGTATGAGAATACCCAGAACAGATTAAAAGACACATATCGGTCAGAGTTAAGTAGCTCTGGACAGTGGTGCCAACCGTTTTGTTACAGATTTGACAAAATACAAATAATCACTTCTTACAATTCTTTTTGGTTTATTTTGATATTACTTCGTTTCAGAGATTGGAAACAAAACCATATCTGTACATATTATATTGATGCGTATATATTATTTTGTATTAATAATTCTTGTGATAAAACTTCCTACTACTTAATACATGAAAATCTTATTACATAATAATATATATAATATATAGTTAAATGATAAATTATACTAAAATGTTCTTATTATTTATTACAAATATTTTGGTAGGCAGCGGCTTGGCTCTGACCCCGCCCGGCATTGCTGACGTCCATGAGCGACGGTGACCACTTACCATCAGGTGGGCCGTATCCTCGTCTGCCTACAAAGGCAATAAAAAAACATAACTATAATTTAACATATTATTATTTACAAAAAATATTGCGAATCTCTTTGTATTGACTGTGCATTAATAATAATATTAGTAGTATAATATACCTAATTATAAGCTTTAATGCAATTAAAAATAATTTTATGCATTGATGGTTACGTCTATAATTTAATACAAACTTTTTTTTACCAGAAAGGTTTATCAAGAAACAGCAGACTAGATCAAAATAGCAAACGCTTTCGCTGGTAGTCATGTCAATGTCCCTACCATAAATGTTGCGAGTCGCGAAGTGAGGGGCAGCGAAACGGGCCAGTTCACCACCAGCGATGCGTGTGCTTGCCGCTATCCTCATACTCGCGTGGTCGTGCCGTGTGCGCGCATTCCAACAGACAATCACGTCACGTGTGCTACATTCAATCGTAGGCGATGCAACAAACACACCTGTGCGACGCGTTTTAGATTGTACTCGCGAACTAGGTGTAGCGAAATGCTTAAACGCTTTCAGTCTGTGGCGGGCAGAAAAGGCTCTCACGACTTTTGCAGGAGATAATAACGCATTGTTCAATTTGACCGAGGATATACAAGGGTTTTCTTGGAAGGCATATAAGAATTGGTCCGATGATGAATTGTATTCGCAACTTTGTGACGATACCAAGCAATTGTTGCAGTATCGTACTATGTTATTTAATGTTCCCGGCTACAAGTTTGAGTTGGGATCAAAAGGCAACGGAACGCTGAACATCGATGTGATTTCAAGTAAGTTATACTGTGTCGTACCTAATCTGCCGTTTGTATAGAGTATCAGATATTTAAAAACCGGAAAATTTGACAAAACAATTATTTTGGTGTGTCCGCTGTTTTTTAAATTAAGTATTTATTATCCGTTATTTAATAGCTTACCAAATTATGTTTCTGATAATTATGTAAAATGAAATAGGAAACATCGTACACTGAGACAACACTTATAAAGTACATATCAATGATATTATTTCTGTATTTGACTGTCAATATTTGCCATAAATTGTAATTTTACGGCTTAATTTAAGTGCTGATTATTTTATTTCCAACTTTTCGAAAACTTAAACAGTTATCGTAGTTTTGAGCAGCTTAGGTGTTGATGTAATGTAATTAACCGTATTAATTCACATCGATGAGTACCTGATTAGAGTAATTTTGAAGACACATTGCTTGTAAAAGATTTTATAGTGTAAGTGCTCAGTGTATTGTCACAGTGTCTTTTAAACAAATCGAATGAAAGTGGAGCGAAATTAAGCATGAATTCGGTTTCACTTTTGACAAATTTTTGTTGTTTTATTTTACAGATAACGACGGAGAATCAGGCCGCGGTATGAAAAAAATGCAAAAAAAATTCTACAAAATAGTACCTTTTCTATTGTTGCCGGGTCTTCTCATGTCGGCGGTACTGCCATTTGTCTTGCCAGCATTAAAAATGATGACCGTTGCTGTCGGGATTTTGAATAATATGGCATTAACTGGCGCTGTTTTCACACTTCTCAGGAACAATGCATTTAATGACAGATATGAGCACAAAGTTTTATATGTTAACGAAGGCTACAAGAACGAGAAGCGTGCCAAAGTAAATCTAAAACCAGAACATCACGTGCACGACGATGTTGAATACGATATACCAGAAAAGTCAGAATATCAGGAAGAATATGTTATTGAAAATGATAATCATCACTTCGCTCATGAACTAAATTCAGATTGGATTAAAGATTATTATGGCGATAGATTCGTAAAAATTGAATCTTAATACAGAGGAAAACACAAACATGCCAATCAATTGCCAAATAACTTACCTTTTATTAACTATATAAGTAATTTATTAAAGCTAGTCTTATTTAACGGCAATACAAAAGGCGTTGCTTCTTTAGGATGTTTTAAACTTTGAAATAAGTTTTGATGTAATTTTAAAGAAAGCCTAATTTAATGTTATTACTTTTTGGCAAAAATTTTGCTAATTCTCCTTACCTATGCATGCGATGATAGAAATTCAGTTATCATTCAATTTTGCAAGTCGGTTTCCGTTTTTAATTATGAAGTCAAAAAGTGAAAGTGTTTTATCTATCGTCATCCTTCTGATCACTAATTTATAATAATCTCATTTATTATTTAGCACTTTACGCTATGTACATTTATATTCAACTAGAGGTCCCGCAGTAGTCGAAATTCGACTATAATTAATTGGAATTGTAAGTTTTTACACTATTATGATTGTATTTTCAACGCGAAGACTATACTATAGAAAAATATTAATAAAGACAAACAATTATTAATCTATACTCAATTTGACCACAGACTTCAAGAACAAAAGTTTGACAATAAATAGTATGCATGCGTGTGTGCGTCAAATACATGGTATGTAGTGTGTGTAATGTTTTCTTTATTGATTTAATGTATCTTTTATGCATTATTTAAAAAAAATATTAGCATTGTGCACTTCTTCTCTATATTCTCTATAAGTGTGGAAAATTTCATACTCCTAGGTCCGCGCAATTTTCGTAAAAAGGCATACAAAGTTTTTGCTTCACCTATTAATATATAGATTTCATTGTTGTATTTGGTATCATAACAACTGAATGACTGCAATTCAATAAACATATTTAATAGGTACCAACAATTCTATAACTTTTCTACACACATTGATCACATTTGATTATTTACGAATTAATGTTTCAAACAAAAACAATGATAATTTTTTTTTATAATGTTTCAAACAAAAATAACGATAATTTGTGCGTGTCAATCAATGTCTGCTAAATTATGACCAAACGACAGATTTATTCTTACCTGGAACTGCACTAAACAAGATACTATTAAGAAATTTTTAATAGAAATAAGTACTGGTTTTATTTTCTCAAAGATACGATATAGGCGAAAATTAAGGTTTGGATGAAAAATTTCATTGTTGAATGTTCAGTTTTTTTAAAGCCCCTTCTGTGTGCTGAGTGCGAGTTTTTTAACTTCTCGTTTGGATGTCCCTAGAGCCGTTCCAACTCCATACAAATTTAAAAAAATGTTTAGTAAACTTTTAGGCGATTTTTAACTTTTTAGAACAGCGCGCTGCATGACGCCGTGGACAGGGGAAAGTGGAAAAAGATCCTAAGATTGAAGCTCATGGGTGATGGTGGTCACGACCCTCAGACATGAGGAACACGACTCGAGGAGGGAGGAGGCGATCGAGTAGTTAAAAAACTCGCACTAAGCTAACTAGATTGAAAATAGTAAGAAGAAAAAAATGGGTAGCCGATAATATTCAACCTAAATCGCTAGTTAAGTAAGAGTTAATAAAAAGTTAATTTGATTCTCCAAAAACGATTTGAAGAGTAATTTAAATAATTATAGTTACATAAGTCGTTATTTAACATTTCCCTAAAAACACCAATTTGGTAATATAATTAAAAGAAAGTTCACTTTTGAAAGGTAAAAACTGGTTGTTACGAAATTATGACGAATTAATATGAAGTGAAAATACAATGAATTTTTAAACGTGTATGTAAATTGGAACCAACTGAAATTATTTTATCTTTTAGCTAACCGAGAAACAATTTGACTTCATTATTTTTTTAAGCTGTTAGATTCATTTAAATTTGGAATCAAATGAAATCGATCTATATTTTAGTTAACAGGAAAATCTGGAACATCCATCTGACTCTGAGACGAGACAAGCCATTCACAGCAAACAGTCACGATCGCCATTAACTATGCCAGTTATGTTGGTACATTGCCAAAAGGAACCAGGAGATTCGTGAAAAACTTGCAGTTTTTTTTTTAAAAACAACGCCTTCTTTGTATTTTATACCTTGACCTCGAACAACAGACTCGAGTGATTCTCCTGGGCATATTAATACGTTAACTGTGATCTTTGGATACCACTATTCAAAGTCTGAAAGTCTAGTAGCTATAATTTACATGACAAGTAAAGATATGTTTTATTGGCATAGATGAGCTAGGGCGCAATCGACTTTAGTCGACTACCGGGATCCATAGAGGTCATGACCTGAATGGGACCACCTAGTCCAACTTTAGAACGAAGTCTCAATGGTATTATGACTATTTTTATTCTCCCTTGAACCTAATTAACAGTACCGCGACAGAAAATTCAAAATACAAATAATGTCATGTACAAATTACTGCTTGATAGAGCAAATAACTAAGTATGGGTGTGAAGAAAGGCAAACTTAAGTTTATATATTCTTATAGTATTTATTTATATAAATTAAGAAATTATGACAATTACCTTACAATTAAAGAACACCTTAGAGCCTTATATCAATGTAAGCAACAAATAAATAAATTTATAAAATTGAGTATTTTACTAACAATAAGAGCCTATTTCTTAAATTGAGCAATTTTCATATGAGAAGCGCACTGACAATTTAAATAAATTCTTACAAGGCTCTTAGTAAATAATAACCTAAAGAAAGTTAAGCACTCATTTTTCAATATTTGAATCAGCTTATAACTTCAATAACTGAAAAATGTTTTCTTAAATTAGGTAGTAATTAATGCATACATCCAGTGCCGGATTACCCATATAGCAAGAGTAGCAATTGCTACGGGCCCCGCGCGAACGGGGGCCCCGCATATTTAAACCCACTCATCTCTGCCCGAGCTTAATTTTTGAATGTGACTTATTAAGAAAAAGTTGTTTGTATAAACGTGTAGAATTTCAATCAGCCTGATAATCAGCTCTACAAAACGTCTGACATATGCAAGCACTCTTACCCGACACAGTGTTTTTTTACCACTTTATACTTAAGAACCCATAGTAGATCAAGGGGTCTTTGAAATAATTTGCTACGAGCCCTGCGCTTGCTTAATCCGGCACTGCATACATCATACATTTGTTATTGTAGAGTAACGAGCTAGCAGTAATAATGTTGTTACTTACACGTTTATAGTATTTTTACAGACTGAATATACATGTAATATTGGCATAAAAGTGGTTTTTAATCGTATCAAATTCATCATCAAATTCAACCTTTCGAGACAATTCAATGTGATATGTCGTTCAACAAAGCACTTACTATTTATAATCTCATTTTCTCGCTAATAGCTTTATTCAATGATTTAAAGTTCAATGAAATTCCCCTTTCCGTGAAACTAATAACAATGTTAATGAATTAATATGTATACTGCTAGTTTTGGTGGTCTAGTGACGAGTCAGCCTTTATTATATTTGATACCCATATTACCATAAAAATGTTTTCCTCTCTGTTTTTTTTATTCATGAAAGCGCAATTGAAATCACATTATTGAAAATACACCCTGTGTCGTTTCCTAAATTAAGACGAATTGAATATTACGCCCCATACAAATATTAAAGTCCATTCATCACAGCAGTGAGCCAAACATCAACACCTGTGCCAATCGGATAAAACGTAAATTGTGTAAGTCTCCAGGTGCAGGCTCATTTTTATTTTATTTATCATATTAATGAATGCACATAAAATTATAAATAAATAAATAGATTCAGACATACGGCATATTACAATTAATCACAATGTTGTTTCCGTGTAATCTCAATATATAAAAATTAATTGCTGTTCGTTAGTCTCGCTAAAACTCGAGAACGGCTAATTGGCTAATTTTGGTCTTGAATTATTTGTGGAAGTCCAGAGAAAGTTTAAAAGGTAGATAAATATGAAAATGCTCGGTATTAAATAAAAATAACAATTTTGTTTTCCTTTGATGTATCCCCCCCCTCCGAACCGATTCCTTTTGTTTGTTTTGAGTTTATTTTATACAAAAGTTTAGGTATTTTATTTATCGACTGAGGCACTACGAAGTTTTTTTTTTTTATGATTGAAGGATTACTTGTGGCCCGGAGGCCTTTCCAGTTTCACCAGGACACTTCGGCAGTACATATACTAAAATTGGAACGATAGAGAAGATTAGCATGGCCCCTGCGCACTACGAAGTCTGCCGGGTTAGCTAGTACAGCATAAAAAAACATTCCTATCATAGTTACATGATCATATCGTATCGTGTTAATAGCGCGTCGTTTGTTTCATGAGTACTCCACAAAAATAAATACATTTTATTGTTTGCTACTACACTAAAAATGTTGTACTTCACAACGCAGGTCCTCATAGTTCCTTTTTTCTTTTTTCTTTTTATTGCTTAGGTGGTAGCTGCCTACCACCAGTAACTAAATCTCACTGTTTAAAAAGAAACAGAAGACTAAATCTCACTGTTTAAAAAGAATCTGAAATAAATTCATTCAACATCAACCTTCACAAAATGTGTACTTCAGAAACGCTTGAGTTGCTTATATCTAGTCATTCTTTTTGTGAACAATTTCCGCCAATTTCTTATCATCGTCTGACATGTCTTTATCGCCCCAGCCCCATATAGGGTTTTCTAGATGATGATGATCTTCCTCCAACTCTGCCTTCTGTTTCGCCCAAGGATGGGTACCGTCGCCTGTTCGATTAATGCGATTCCTTATCATCTTTTCAGATACCGTCTTCAAATCGTAAGCTAAGCCTGAAAACAACAAAAAATAATTATATAAATTAAATGAATTTAAAACACGATTTTAGGTAGGATTTCATTTATGACTGTGGTTGCCAGTGTCTTTGAATACCACGATTCATCAAAAAAAGCTATCGTTTTTATTTTTTACTCTTTATTGCCTGGATGGGTGGTGGACGAGCCCCCGGCCAACAAGCTCACAGCCCACTTGGTGTTAAGTAGTTACCGGAGCCTATAGCCATCTACCACGTAAATGCCACCACCCACCTTGAAATATACATAAGTTCTAAGGTTTCAGTATAGTTACAACGGCCGCCCCATCCTTCAAACCGAAACGAAACGAGCATTACTGCTTCACGGCAGAAATATGCAGGGTGGTGGTACTTACATGTGCGGCTCACAAGAGTTACCACCAGTAAATACTTGCGAAGCAATTGCCATGGAATTCTAGGGTCTCCTTCGAAGGCGCTCAAATAGTGTATGGTGGCCTGGACAGTTTATCAAAAAAAAAACAGTATCGGGCCTACTTTCTCCATAATGCATTCGATAATGGGTTGGTGGTTGTACCAACACGATCAACGTTCTAACTATAGGTACACAGGCAACGGCGACCACGTTGTTGTAAACTCTTCTTGTCATCAAATGAGCCGTTTTTTTACCCATCTTGGTAAAGTCAAATGTAATCAAAGTCTTTACGAATTACGAAAGTATGCAGTGACGATGTTATTATAAACAGCATGAAAATAGATAATTGAATGAATTTAAATAGGTAATTGTGTACAAAATAGCTGACCAAGCCATAAGCAAGGTTAGCTAGATCTAATTAGCAAATAACTGGTTTTAGTATACCGGCACATGCTCCTAACAGTGAACACTCTGAACTGAGAGAGCATTGCTATATACTACTTTAAGGCAAGTTTTGCAAGAAAATTCACACTTTGAGCTGAATTTTGTTAATGAAAACAGAAACACATCAGCGTAATTAAGAAAAGCGTTATCAGGCTCACCGTATTTTGCAGCGATGTCAATTAAGGCGGTTGATAAATTGGTGCTGTAGTCTCCGAGCTCGGCCGCTTTGTAGTCCCAGGGAAATACGTGATGATAGTTGTGCCAACCCTCGCCTAAAGCACAGATCGCCACAGTCTTGTTATCGGTTGCTCCTATGTATCTGAAATAGCAAGTAATTTATAACTTTATCAAAAATTGCTATAATAATGTAAGGAGGCGCATTAGAAAATTATCAACTCGAAATTCATTTTGGTACATACTTATTATATTTTAGTAAATACAATACAATTAAGACCATTACCTCGTCTATGTATATAATCTCTTAAATTTAGTGCCCGTATTTCCGTTTTGATATCTATAGGCTAAAACTAGTTTTAATTTTAATTATTATTAGTATTGTTATGTTTTTGCGAGTTGAAAATGGCTAAGCCGAAAAAAACCAGGTTTGTTAGACAATCCAAATGTTCTGTCAGGTAGAATACAATGTATTCTTCGGTTCTACAAAATAGCCCTAACAGCTTAGAATTTTTTGTAAATTTTTATTACGTTTTAATAAGGGTATATTTTTTTAATTGGCTACAATTGTTAGAGCTTGTCTAGAAATATAAACAAAGTCATAGACACGAGAATCATATATTTTTATAGTTCTATGTAGTTTTTAATATAGTTTTTAACTAATGTATGATTACAAATTCATATCATTAATGCTCTAATTCAAGGGTGAGCAACCTTTTTAATTTATGGGCCAATTTTAAATTTAATTTTTTTTCTGCCGGCCGCTCATTGTTTGACTCTTATTAATAATTTAAGAAACTTTATTTATAATAAATATTAGAATAAAAAAATATAAAACTAAAAAAAAAGTTAACATTTCATATACAAATTTTAATGCAAGATAAAAACAAACAAGAAAAGAACAGAAAAACGAATTTACTCGAAAATTTTAATGAAAAATTTAGCACTGTTCTTTCGATACAAGCAGCTGATCATCAGCCTGAATAGATGAGGTAGCTAGCTACACGTACACAGCTTTCTAATCGTCCATCACTCAGTCTTGATCGGTGGTAATTTTTGATTAATTTCGTGGTTGAAAATAATTATTCGCAAACATACGCGCACTTCCGGACAGAGACGTCATTAGCTTTACTTTACTACCATTTTAGTATAATTAATTTTCTTCGATGTCGATAAAATAAATCCCATTTTAGAAATGCTTGGCGGGCCGCGTGTCGCTCATCCTTGCACTAATTCACTGTCGTAACTAATAAGTTCAGTCAATTAAGTAGCAGGTAATTAAAAAGACTTACTGATCATATGGTTTGTTCCCCCAGAGGTGTGCGGCGGAGTTAACCAGCCACGTGAAGTGAAGACTGATCGTGTATCTAAACATTGATGCGACATACCACGAGGACCATGGATTTTCGTTCCAAAAATAAACGGGAATGTACAATGGTAATAAGAAACATAGAATTGGCATCACGAATAGATATGTTCTGAAAATTAAAATGACTGTATTGTTTTAAATCGTAATACAATCTACTAAACAATTGAGACTCAGATATAATGTCTCAAGGAGTCAAGCTGGGTAGCTGTATTCACGACCTTTTTCTTGCCCTTATGTATGTGCTGTCAACTTTTTCCAATCAGACCTGTGATACGTCATTTCTGCACTCACACACTACTCTCACTGAACCTCTTTCACACAGTTCATCTTAATCTTTTTAAGACGCTCCCTTCGCTGGCGACACTTATATTATGCTGCCTATTGGGTCGGGTAGCCAATTAATACCAGTCATCATCATCAGTCTAAGTAATAAGAAAAAGTACATGACATAAATAAAACTACTTTTACGCCTTTATCTCGCGTTTTTTAATGTGTTCAAATCACGTCAGGGTCACCAGTTTGGAGTGTTTAACGACAAAGGGAAAATCTTCCACCGAGTTGGTGAAGTTGCTCGGTAGACCGACGATCCGAATTATGTTGTTCGGAATTTCTGTTTTAGCAAGCTTATCTTGAAAATGTCGTAAGCAAGATTCAGGCATATGTCATCTTGTGTTCTGTCATGGCTACCCGCCACATCACTAAAATATATCCGATGTATCGAATCATTTACAGTTTTTGTGGTCACGAACGACCACGTAGTTTTTTATCTATGTACACGACTCACGAAAACCGAAATGAATACTACATATATAACATAATTTATTTACTTTTACGTTCTTACCACAATTAAAAGTATTTATGATTTGTCTACATTATACAATATCACGAAAGCTTAGAATAAATTTTACCATTTGAAAGTTTGTAATTATCTTATTTATTAGAGTAGATCCAAAGTAGAGCGCAGTTCACTTGTTACTATGCCACATTGAAAAACTAGGACGAAGACCAGGGAGGCAGACCAGCACACGATCAAAATGAAAGTGAAGTTTTAGCTACTGCTTACGGCTTAACACTCTTATCATTTAAAGTAATATAATAATATAATAGTACTCAGCACTCAGGAAGCACCTGAAGATGAGCTCATTTCAGAGATGGGTGGTAAAAATTCTCTAGGGAGTTGTGGATTGATACAGTGATTCCAAGAGGCAGGGATGACCTCTACTCCGGTGGCGGGTGTAACGTACTTGACGGACCTCAAAAATTTCCTCATTGACAATCATCGTTATCTCACTGTCCAATTCAGAACACAATTTACGAGATAAATATGCTAAACCATAAATGCCAAGTCAAACATGCTTATAATACTAGCATTTTACAAGAATTGAATTCGAAATTTGTTGTAACTTTGTAATGCATACTTGCTGCGTTTAAAATACTTTAGTATTTAAACGAAACTCTTACTACCGGTTCGAGGGCAAAAAATGCCACACTTCTGAGAGAAACAAGCGAAAGTCTCAGCGGGCTTGCTTCCTTAAAGATCGTTTAGTTATTCTACAGTACAATAATGGAACATAACATTACGCTAAATAAAAAAGGAAAGTTACATAGGGCAATATTTCTATCCAAATTGACGCAACACGAATTAATTTTCTTTAAACTTAAATCTTACATTTTCATAGTCTACAACTGGGCAGAAAAAAAGAAAGGCGTCGTCTTTGAAATCATAGATAACAATTTAGTTTCCGCTGTATGTGTAGGGTCTTCGTTTTTTTTAAAAGCTTAGATAGGTGGGCGAGCTCACGGCCCAATTAATGTTTAGTGATTACCGGAGCCCATAGACATCTACAACGTATATTCCGCCACCCACCTTGAGATATGAGTTCTAAGGTCTCAGTATAGTACAACGGCTGACCCACCCTTCAAGCCGAAACACATTACTGCTTGACGGCAGAAATACACAGGGCAGTGCGGACCCTTGCGGACTCAGAAGACACAAGACACCTACTACCAGTAAATTATTTTGTTTAGCGTTTCGACATCTATGAGCAGAGACTACATATCATGTTGAGATATCTTTTTTTTTTCTCCACGTTATCCCACTAGGTGGGTTCGGTACAGCTAATTTTTCTCTTCCATTCTCTTCTATCAGCCGTCATCTCAACACTCACTCCTCTCTCTCTCTCATATCGTCATTCACACACTCCATCCATGTCTTCTTCGGTCGACCTCTTCCCCCTCTACCTTGCACTACCATTTCCATACAACTCCAAATCACGTGCATCTTCTCTCTACGCATCACTTGACCATACCACGCTAACCGTAGTTCACAAGACATTAAATATAGTTTTGACGATTACAGCATTGTCACGGATAAATTTATTTGGAGATAAAACTTTGAAGCTCACTTTTTTTGGAACATTACGATCGGGTCCTTTTCCAAATCCGACATATCAACAGCGGCACCCTTTTCGAAGACGTCTTTGTGCTTCCTCACCATCAACCAGCCCATGTGAGAAAAGAAAAATCCTCGTTTAGCGTTGTGAGGGTCAGCGTCAGTCTCCGTGAACTTATGATGAACTCTGAAATTTAGAAGCAGCCGATTGAATTAGTAAGACAGCTAAAGACGTATGCAAATTAGATTTTTACTTTGATTTTATTGTGTACTATGAGTTCACACATGCACGGGTAGATTAAAATCTAAAATATCATAATCATAATATTATATATGACTTGACTATATATACCGCGCAGAAGTAATAAGTTCCACTTCGAAGGGTGGGGTGGCCATCACACGGTTCAATTGGGACTTTGAATTGACTCCTTATGTCCTAAAGTTGATGGCATCATTTACATCAGAATCATGATATCTAAAGGCTTAGCTAATCACTGAACATCAGGTAGGCCGCGAGGCCATTCACCCATCATGTTGTTAATAACTTTTTTTTGTGGCACTTTAATAAATCATTAATTATGTTGTTTTGTCTGATATTTGTGATTAAAATAATTAACATTTCAATCATAAATATAAATTTTAATTTACAAATTCTGTTTTTACGATAACATACATACGTAACTACACTGAGACCTTAGAACTTATATCTCAAGGTGGATGGCGCATTTACGTTGTAGATGTCTATGGGCTCCGGTAATCACTTAAGACCAGGTGGGCTGTGAGCCCATCCACCCATCTAAGCAATATAAATAAAATAAAATAAACATATAAATTATCAGATATAAAAAGAAAATGAATTAAATATTCTGCCTTCGCTTACCTATGATCGCGTACCCATTCATATATATGATTTTGGAAGGCCATCGTCTGCAGTAACGCCAAGAACAAACGTAGCGGCCATTTCGCTTTATATGCTCTGTGTGCCCAGAGTCGATGCGCGCCTGCAGTTATTCCCACCGCCGACAGCAAAGTGAAACTGACAGCTACATTCAACAATATATTGTGAGACAAAACCATAGACCTTAGGTTTCATACTTCAGTGGACAAAACGTAATGTAAACAAGAGATCAAAAAGTCTTGGTCTACTTTTAGAAAGCATCCGTGGCCTAATGAATAAGACATCTAGTTGTAGGAGTCCATTTTGGTTTAGCTATTTACCACACACCTACCCATTATTGCCACGAGCTAGTCATTACCGCACATCAGACGTTATGGTTTTAAGAGTAGGTCAACCGTTTTATACCAGACTAACATTAAATAATGTTACAAAAAAAATCAGATTTTAATGTGTTCGCGCCAATCTTTCTTAAATATGTTTATGCTGGTAATATTAGGGGTAATAAAGAGAATCACATTGCTGTAATTACAAACACACAAAGTAGTTACAGCGCCAAGTGAAATATTTTTATTAATCGAATGTATGTGTACCGGGATCTTGACAGACATAATAAAGTAGACTATGTGTACTTTTGACAGAAAACGATTTGACTTTTAATTATTAAATTTGAATTATTTTTATTGAAAAAGAACTTGAAAAAATTATTAACCTTAAGATGTATTATACAGTTAACGATTTTTTAAATGTTATTTCTTTTGATCATTATGTTAATTTTAAATTCACTTCTTTCTGTTCTTTGTTTTCGTTTTATGACATAAATAACTAAATCTTATTCAATTAATTTATTTTGTTGTTTGATATTTTAATTAATTAATATATTTACTGACTGCGTTTAATGTAAATAATTTTGAATAATATTTGCACGCCGACCTGGTAGAAACACGCTGTTCTATAAAATAACTATCAACAACTTTGTAAACCGCGTATTAATTAGCTAATAAAGTTTGATTTGATTCGATTTGATTTGACTGTTCTCGGAGTATTCATGCTGAAAATATGATTATATAGCACTGAAAGAAAGAATTTAAAGGAAGCCTGGATTGAAAGTAAAAACTTTTTTCTAACGAAATGAAACTAGCCCCCCGAACCATATTACGGTTTTTTAAAAGATGACTTATAAGAGATACACTGGTCGTTAATCAACCAATACTTCAAAATTACTAGAGTCGAGATTTCCTACCACCTGTAATTACGAACATTATAATTTTGCGGATTTCATTTTTATTACACGACTAGTGACCCGGCAGACTTCGTAGTGTCTCAATCGATAAATAAAAAGACCTAAACTTTTGTATAAAATGAACTTAAAACAAACAAAAGGAATCCGCCCGATGGGGGACACATCAAAGGAAAAACAAAATTGTTATTTTTATTTAATTCCGAGCATTTTCACATTTATCTACCTTTTAAACCTTCTTTGGACTTCCGCAAATAATTCAAGACCAAAATTAGCCAAATCGGTCCAGCCGTTCTCAAGTTTTAGCGAGACTAACGAACAGCAATTCATTTTTATATATATAGATGTTATTCATTCACAATGGAGGTAAATCGTGAGTATTTGTCAAATAGGTACGTATTTTATTAGAAAAATATTCGAAGGTTTTGAATTAGTCAGTAAGGAACAACATGGGTATAGTCGGCTTCAGTGATGGTTTGATGTGGTGTTAGCTATCTAACGATTGAGCCATATTGCGGTGAAAAGATCAAACAAGCTCAAGGTAATTAATTCTCTTAATAACACCATACTATACAACTAAGAATGTTCCTTTGAGCACAACACAAAGAACCAAGGAATAACATCGTGTAATAATAATTAAACCCGAAAAATATAATTTGCGTAATTACTGGTGGTAAGACATCCTATGAGTTACACACGGATAGGTACCATCACCCTAATTTATTGTATAAAATAATACTAATCAATAAAAGAAAAAAAAACAATGTTTTCCGTTGTGAAAATATTTACTTAGGGTGGATGGCGGTGTTGACGATTGGAAGGAAGGAAGTTGTCCAATAACCAAACACACACACAGTTTTTTGTTGTTCTTTAAATTTAATTTTTTTTTATGCTTTCCAAATTAATTTTTTGTTTTACATTCAAACGAATTTTGGAAAAGTTTACAGTAATGAGATTTAAAAACTTAAGAAGCAACTCTAATTTATTTTTTATTCTGCGCAATTTTTCAAATTTTAAATTCCGCAATTTTTAAAACTTCCGAAATAAAACATGGCAGCATAAGGCCGCTTAATCGTGCTTTCATCATTAAAATCGCTTAAAGCTTCAGTCACGCTGACAGCTAGCTGTAGGCTGAGACATCTAGGCAATTTGTGATGTAAATCATAGAATCTTTAATAAATTTTCTTATTCCGGTCTGTTAAAGATCAGAACCGTTACAATTTAAATTAATGCTTATACTGGTAGTATGCGTGAACGAATTTCAAGTTATGAATTTTAATTTCAGGTACAATTAGTCGTTTTTGTTTCAAATAAACTCTTGAATTACTTTAGAAACTGTAAAAGTTAGAGATAGTAGGGTGGGTACAGTAGAGAGTAATAGTTAAGAGTGGTTTTATATAATATTATTTTTACTTAAACTTGAAACTGACTTACCAAATAGTACTGTCCATAGTTTAACTTTCCCTGTGAACATCAGATAAATACCGTACAAGGTGGCAGCGTGTAGATATATGAAAGCGAATACGTTTCTCCAGACAATCTGCCATCTGTGAGTAGAAAATGAGTTTGATTACTATTCATTTTTTATTGCTTAGTGAATGCCGCCACCCACAACCCTGAGGTTTAAACCTATATAAATACAGTACAACGGCTGCCCTACTCCTCACATCGAAACGCTCTGCTACAGGGCAGATATAGGCGGATTGGTGGTACCTACTCCCACAGACTACCACGAGCAAAAATCTGGAAGTCGATTTTAACTTTAAAAAACATTAAGTTTACATATTCCTTATATATATTCTGTTACTTTGTGTGACCATTGGAATTGTTGTGAGATCTACAATTTATGATGTACCAGTTGACCTGGCAGACTTCGTAGTACCTCATCCGATAAATAAAATACCTAAACTTTTGTATAAAATAAACTTAAAACAAACAATAGGAATCCGTCGGACGGGGTACAGATCAAAGGAAAAACAAAATTATTATTTTTGTTTAATTCCGAGCATTTTCATATTTATTTATTCTACCTTTTAAACCTTCTCTGAACTTTCACAAATAATTCAAGACCAAAATTAGCCAAATCGGTCCGGCTGTTCTCGAGTTTTAGCGAGACTAATGAACAGCAATTCATTTTTATACATATAGATAGATTATTAAAAACTGATTGCCGTTGCCCAAATAAAACAAAATAAATTAAATATGTAAAATTGCTCATAAAATTACTTGTTTTANTAAATTAAATATGTAAAATTGCTCATAAAATTACTTGTTTTACATACTCATAATTTCTGTTTTTTCTTTCCGTGCTGTTCAAAGATGCTACATAATCTTCTTCCTCGAGAGATTTAGTTTTGATGAACTCGGTCCCAAAAATCGAAGAGTTCGTCATTGTTCTGTAACAAAAAAAAACCAGAGTGAAAACTATAAAGTATATAACAGAGCTCCGTTGCTTTCAGTATCGTAAAGAAATGAATTGAAATGGTACGAGTGAGTTTCAAATTTTCTTTCTACGACAGCAACGTAAACTTTGAAGTCAACGAAAACTTAAGAAACAGTTTTTGAAATAGTCGAATATTTGTCGCAATTTTCTTAAATTCCTGTATACAGGAATTGAGGTATTGAGAACTTGTCTGCTGTATACAGCTTCTCAACTTTTTGGCGTTAAATTAGGTACTTTTGATATCCATAGATATCGTAAAGTAAACATCGCCACCCACCTTGAGACATGAAGTCGAAGTCTCAATTGTATTGTCCAACGACTGTTCCAATAATAATTATATTCCCGACATGCGAATTACCTCCACAAAGTTTTAGTTCTAATACTGGTCTTAATTTTTCGGCTATGATTCCAATGCATCTTGCATAATACTGAGTTTTACGACATGAAAAGTTGAATTAGTATAAGTACGTTCTTGTTAACTTTACGACGAGATTCGTTGGTAATGGACCAAAATTCTTTTTTTTTTCTATTTCTTAATGGGTGGACGAGCTCACAGCCCACCTGGTGTTAAGTGGTTACTGGAGCCCATAGACATCTACGACGTAAATGCTCCAGCCACCTTGAGATATAAGTTCTAAGGTCTCAAGTATAGTTACAACGGCTACCCCACCCTTCAAACCGAAACGCATTACTGCTTCATGGCAGAAATAGGCAGGGTGGTGGTACCTATCCGCGCGGACTCACAAGAGGTCCTACCACCAGATTCGATGGTAATGGACCAAACTTCTTGACAAGCCCCGAAGAGAAACATTTTAACTAATGTATTCCTACAAAATCATGAAATCTAGTTTATAGAATTTTCTTCTGTGTTCGCGATGCTTAATGTCGCGTCTTTTTATTGTCATTCTATTATTTACATTCGTGTCAGTTATCCGTGACCACGAAAACTGTAAAGCATTATACAGTTAGAGAACTGTAAAAGTAGTGTTAATTAAATCTGTGATAGTAAGTATAGGTAACATTCTATCAATTTTCTTATTTTTTGTATTAGTAGCTTTAGTTTATTTAGTTTATTGTAATTACAAAATGTATTACAAGAAAAGCAAAAATATAAATCATAAAAATAAAATAACATTGAGCCGTCAATTATTTTGGTGGAAATTTAATCATTGGGCGAACACTATAATAATATTGGTTTAAAAATTTTTCGGAAGTTGTCCCAAATGGTTTTAAAACCCCGATGAGGCTAGAACCTGTGTATTGTTTAGTCACAGTGAATAACTGCGGTTGAATCTGTGTGTCAATCTACAGAAAACCATCTTTGGTATCGACATGTAAGTGTGAAATAACGGCACCACCGACAATAATGAGTTCAAAATGAAATGGAGAATTAACTTTAAGATCGTGCGTTAGACTTTTTTTACAATGACTTACAGAAAGTGTTACCCACTTGTTTTGTTGTTTAAATTACTTTTTATTTGTATGTGTTGAATTTGACATGCTTTTTGTTAACATTGGACTACTTTTATTTAAGTGTAACGAACTCATACGAAATGAAATAAACTAGTAAAAACACATCTAATACGTTCTGACAATTCGAAAAGTCAGAAACTAATTCAAATTCAAATTCAAAATCATTTATTTCAACTTGGATGTCATCAAAAACACACTTGTTGAATGTCAAAATGTAAAAGAAAATGTTAACTCTACCACCGGTTCCAAAAAAAGCCACGTATAATATTCCAAATAACGTTTAATATAATTTACATAAAAATATTTTTTTCATATTGATTTTACATTTTTATTTACTGAGACATGACTATCTTACTATTTGCACCTTAAAAATATATAATATGTCATCATCATGTCAGTCAAGATTTTCATAAGATTTATTTATATTTTTCATATTTTCCGGTTTTAGATTGTGTACTAGGACCGTAAACTTTAACCTCTTGAATAAAAGACACGCATGAGAACGCTTGATCATGAGCACTAATGTAAAATTATAGGAGCACAATAAGTTAAGAAAATATCATATTATAACTCTATTCCAATTACGAAGTCCCATGAGACAGATGTTTATTATTATGTTATTGTGGTGTGAATTATTTGTATAATGATTTAGATTGAATGTGTATTTTTTAAATAAGGTTTACAACCATGAACAAAAAATGATTATTATTTCAAACTAGCTGACCCGGCAGACTTCGTAGTGCCTCAATCGACTTTTCGATTTTGTATAAAAAAAAACTTAAAAAAAAAAGGAATCCGCCCGACAGGGCACGAGAAAGAAAAAACAAAATTGTTTGTTTTTATATCATTCCAAGCATTTTCATATTTATTGGAGTTTACTCCTTTAGAATCGATTTACATATATAGGCCCGGGGTATGAAAATTATGGGGACCAAAATCGTACTAGCATGTCACACGAAATGCGTTATGCGCCTGATTGGCTCCTGATTGCGTGATGCGTGCGCGCGCCAATCAAAATCGTACTAGCATGTCACACGAAATGCGTTATGCGCCTGATTGGCTCCTGATTGCGTGATGCGTGCGCGCGCCAATCAGGAGCCAACGCGCGGCCGCGTTATCGCAGGTGACGCCGGGCTGCTGCGCCGGCAGTCCGCCACAAAGCCTCGTACTGATCGCGCGTTTCTCTCATTATTGTATTTTCATATATTTGTTAGTCGTTTGTTTTGTGTCTCGTTAATTTGTTAATAATCTGTAGTGTATCGTGTTGTCGTAATATAGAACTATTTCTCGTATTGTTTCGTTTAATTTTTTATATCCAGTAAACTCCAGTCGTGCGTCGGAGCGGACACACACACTTTTTTCACCTTTTAAACGTTCTCTGGACTTCCACGAATAATTCAAGACCAAAATTAGCCAAATCGGTCCAGCCGTTCTCGAGTTTTAGCCAGACTAACGAACAGCAATTCATTTTTATATATAGAGATTACGCGAAACGTGAAGAGTTACGTTCTACAAAGTGTCAAAAGGGACCTCGTAATTGGAATAGAGTATATTTAATTACCAAAACCTAATTATTGTATAAAAACGTCACTTTAAAATAACGTAGAAGAATTGGACTAGTTAATATATAAGTATTTTTGAGTATCAGTCTGCATTATTACTTCGACATTCAGAAATGTTCCCTGAGTACGATTCGACATAATAAATCATATTATAGTATATCATATTAGAACATATTAGATCACCGGTACACAAAAATATCACTTTTAGGGTAAAACATCGTATAGTAAAATACACTTTATATGACACAGAATACTGGTGATTATAGTTGTGATGTAAGCCCATCTGTATGGATATATAGGGTACCACTGTTATGTATATTTATATCCCAAATCAGTCACGTTATTGTATTAGTCCAATAGAATTGACTTTGACCTTCTCATTCTTCAAAGTGGATCGTGAAAAACACCATCATAACACCCTGGCTACAGCTGAACCAAGTGGTATGCCAAAAATGCAGACCCAAGAATGTATAATTTTAGTTATTAATATGTCAACGAAATGAAATTAATTACAGTTCACTTTCGTTGACCCGAATAACTGAAGCGCAACGTTAGATTAATACGAATTCTCTCTCGTAATTACACTCTTTTTATATTTTAATATTAAGCAGCAATTTAAATTTTGTTTAGGTTATTATAATTGAGAAGACGAAGCCAGATTTAATCGCCTCTAAGTACACTTTGATTAGATAGTATACACATGTGTACGTTTTAACTCTTCTCTTTACTTTCGCTTCGTATTTCGCTTAATGAAGCGACGATCACCAAAATCATGATCACTGCCCGTAAAAACTGAAGGGGTATATTAAGGTACCTGTTTGTTGCGTGAATTATCGTAAAATTTTTATTAACAAAAAATCTACTAATTTTATAAAAATCGAGGAGTAAAAGGCTATTTAGTTTAAGTGACATAATACGCGACATTTATTATTGTTATTATAGGTCCGTTTTATTTTCTACTAGCTTCTGCCCGCGACTTCGTCCACGTGGAATAGTTACTTTGGGATAACGCTATTTTTTACCAGCGACTTCATTTACGTATAAGGTGAAAATATTATTGAATAATAGAATGTTAACAAGCTATTTAAGTTACTAAAATCAAACTTTTTAACCGACTTCAAAAGAGGAGGTTATCAATTCGACCATATTTTTTTTATCTATGTATGTTCACCGATGTCTCGAGAACGCTTGAATCGATTCTGATAATTCATTTTTCTTTCTTTTATTCGAAAGGATAGACTTCCCGAATGATCCTGTAATCATCAGGATCAGGATCTGATGACGGGATCCGGAAGAAATCGAAAAAACTCTACAATTTTCAAAGCTTATCTTGAAGTGAAGCTTATCATTAGATATTACGGGTGTGACCATTATTTTACTGCGATGTTATTTTAAAACTGCGATATCATCTAAGATACTCATTGAAATCAAATGATGTAAAGAGATTTTGTTTAAATTAAATACTTACTTGTAATTAATAACCTTTTTTTTGTTTGTTATTGCTTAGATGGTTGGACGAGCTCACAGCCCACCTGGTGTTAAGTGGTTACTGGAGCCCATAGACATCTACAACGTAAATGCGCCACCCACCTTGAGATATAAGTTCTAAGGTCTCAAGTATAGTTACAACGGCTGCTCACCCTTCAAACCGAAACGCATTACTGCTTCACGGCAGAAATAGGCAGGGCGGTGGTACCTACCCGCGCGGACTCACAAGAGGTCCTACCACCAGTAATAAAATTATTTGAATAAAGATTTTGATTTTCAAATCGAACTAGTAGTTACCGCGATTCCACGTTCAACTAAACAAACTCTTCAGCTTTATAACAATAATTATAGATTAGTATCAACAATTCGATGTTTTTAATTGAACTTTAATTAACTTTATCCCATTCAAATAGCTGAAGAAGTTTT